AATCGTACACAAACCAACTTAACATTGTTATGGTCCAAAATACGTTATTGCACAGTAACAACTATTTATCTGCGTCGTTCTCAAAAGTAAAAACTATCTATTCAACAACGTATCAACCTTAGTCCTTTGCTTTATTACAATATACATAAACACATTACCGTTACAGATAGGGGACTATTTTTTTACAATTATTTTTATCTCTCTGAATTATTTCTATCTTTAATCTAATCATTATATTTATGGATTGAACTGCAGTATACATCAATACTATGCCTTGCAAATGTCAATTAAAATAGTGACAATACTTTAAATAACTTATCTGGCAAGAGTTATTGAGTAAAAATTAATTACTAAATTGCTAGCCAAACGTTACGGTAAATAAATAACAGCACACTGCGATGCATAAAAAAAGCAGTGAACCTTTAAAAATTAAAACGACAAATATATAAACATAGCACATTGTATCATTCAAATCAAAAAGCTTCTAATATTGTCTATCCTATAGTCCATCTAATCTAAGAGGTTTGACGTTTCATACTTTTCAAGCCGAAACAACTTTGTAATGGCGTAACTCACAAAATTATAATAGATTCTGTAAAACCATTGAATTATAAAGTTATTTTCTTAATGACTAAATTTATATCCATTAAACAAAGCAAATTAAGCAGTATATACAATAGATAAAGCTTTTTTTAAACTTCGTTTTAAAGTTACGTAGTTAGGTCCTTTACTTTACTTTAGTGTTGAGACTCTTTTAAATTTACTTGTATACGAATAATCGTTCAAATGTAGGAATAATTGAACTAATAAATAACTTGCCATTCTCAATCCAGATGTCTTTTAGTATTTACAATACGCGCCATACAAGTCTGCGCCTGCGCACAGTTACCTTCGTAAACAAACGTACTGAGCATTAAAATACATTTTATTTACTGTTTCTATTTATTATTAGGCTACAAAGAAAACTTCTACCTATATAATTGTATAATATATATATGTATCTCCTTCCGAACGGTACGTTGATATTTTAAATACTAAAGTGGCAAACAAGTAAAATACATATCACGAGTTTGGTAACAACTCCGGATTACTAGGGAATAGGTACATTTTCAATGAATACACTGACACACACTTCTGACACTCAGCTTCAATACTAAGTCTATTTAAGGTGGCAAATAACTAAAAGTTTTTTGAAGTATATCCCAGTACATCGGTACAGTACAAAACAGATGCAAGCAATTAAATTGCTTAAAAAAACTCTTAAAACGTGTCCTGAGGCGTCTATAAATGACGAAAATTGCTTGCAATTATTTTTTAGTTATAATTTATGTATAGACTACCATCAATTGTGTGTTCAATTGTTTTTATATATGTTCATGTTCATACATACCATACCCCTCTGATACCGAACATTGCATTTTGCTGCGCTATTCGTTGGCGCAGTTATTTGGCGCATATTGTAATGATACTTCATTTTCAGCTGATCTCGAACTATTAACGAAAACTTAATTCTAATTAAATCTGGCTGGATTAGATTAGGACTGAAAAGCTCGGAAAGTTTTCTCTTTTTGACATTTACTTACACACATTGGCATAAAAATAAATAACCTAAGATATATTAATACGTGGGCTTTTACAGTAACATACATAATCCTGTAAAATTTGTAATCGATTTGTAAATACAAATATATTATATCGAAATCTCTTAAGAATCGAATATTGTAATAATCTATTTCTTTGAACCCCTACCTTTTCATCAATCTGTCAACTGATATCTCTTAGATTAGATGGACTATAGAAATGGAATAATATAGTTATAAGCAAACAAAATTATGTCCTGATTTCATAAATATACTATCGATGATTGAACACAAATTTGCTATATTTGTCAGCGCTTCCGAAATTGTTGTAATTCAATTTTCCCTTTTTCTAGTACATTATGTATATAAATATATTAAAGACTGATATATAATGTTTACTAATCAATAACAAGTCTACTGGTATCATTATTGGCAGACGTTTTGTCTGACTGCGGCGTTCTATATCAGTTCTTGCAATAATTTTAACCCGTAACGGTAGTAGAATATATATATATAATTATTCTATTTAAAAGTATTTGCCTAAAATTGACACATTTCGTTCAAGTTTAATTGCAAACTATTCTAGAGAGAAACATTAGGCTTACATTACGATACATTATTTAATTTTGCCATGCTATATGAATAATGAAAAAGCATCCATTATCAGCATGATATCACTATACAGTTTCTATAATTTACACACATATAAACACTAAAATATATTTTATTGTGTGGCTGGTTGCTTTTTTAAATATTCCGTTAAGAAACTATATAAAAGGCGAGATTAGTTATTAACATTTATTAAATTAAATCAATTTTCTGGTGTCACATTGAAACCCGTCAGTGTCTGTTTTACGTAATTATATTAGTACATTTTAATACTTCTTTACAAAAGGTGAATATCTTTATATATAAATATTTAGTATTTATATAATTATAAGACTCAAGTAAGACAATAACAATTCTATAAAAAAATCAACGCTTGATAAAACGAGATTAATCTATTTGTAAACCACAATTCAAAGACAACAAAAACAATTCATCGTCAATTACAGACAATAAGGTACTTTCTGACATCACGCGATCGCCTCGTTTTTTTAAATAGTTTTAACATCAGATTAGATCTCCATAGATCTTTGCCAAACTTCACATACATACATTTTCAAAACATAAGGCCAAGTCCATCCTTTAGCACCGATTTGTGTCCAATTGTCAGTCTATGTAATCACAATACCAATTCCAAATCACATTACAACACTTCGTTGCAAAAGGTAATAATAATTATAAAGAAAAACAAATTTATAAAATATTTCCCAATAATGTCTAAACAATAATAAATTTCTAGAATTAATCATAATGTAAAAATCTATACCTGATTATAGTTCTGTACCTACTTAATTATAACTACATTTGTCACAACAGTGAATTGCAAAACTTACAATAAAGCGTAAAACTAAAAATGATGTACATGATTTTTCTTACAATAAATTGTTCTCTACATTTTTATTTACATGTTGTAATATCATCTTTGGTTTAATAGTGAAACGTGCAAATTACCATTCTAGATAATAGTTACTGTCCTGGTACACAGATGTTTTGTTGGCGACCTGCTTGCATAACATCTAGTTTGTCTATGTAAAACTGTAAAAATAAAACAGTACAGGGTAGTTTTTCATAATTATTAAATACTACTCTGAACTGATCTCTGATTTTAATTAGTTATTTATGGTTTTTGTAACATATTCTTAGTTTGAATATCAAAGGTACGTAATAAAGTATCTGCAGCATCTCACTTTTCATAAAAGTACCGCTGTGCATACACGTATGTTATAATTTTTTTATAGCTTATAGATTTTCGTGACAGTCGATTGTCTAATTTTATTATAATACCTTTAGAGCGAATGAAAAACATGGCTATGGAAGGTCTCAAGAGTAGTAGAGTATACAAAAAATATCTGAATTATACTCATCCAAAACATAAGTAATAAAAAAACAAGTCCCGCAAGTCGCAATGCAGTTCTATTTCTATTTAATTTGCTAACTAACCAAGTATAGTAACTATATCTTGTAATTGTTTTTTTAACTACAAGTTTGAATTGAATGTCATTTTCGAATGTCTAGTTACATTTTCAATATTTATTGGTCGCTAAAAATTAAACTTATAACCTTATCTACAATGAACTTAGAGGGAGTCAAAAATGTAATGTTTATTTCTCTGTTCGAATTAGCGAGGCCCCCAGATTTGGGTCAAAAGCGATAGAATACAAAGCGATGACCCTAAGTGATAGGGATACGAGTACAGCAGATGATAATAAGTTTAGTATTTACTATGTAACAACTTAAAAGATACCCAGGACAAACAAATGTTGGATTCTAGAATGGTTTAGACTAGTGATACATTTAAATTCACTCATTAATCAATATAACTTTGCTTACACTAAAATTGACTTTTACTTAGTCACAATTGATACACGGCAAGTTTACATTTCGTCATAATTAAATATATAAATCCGTAGTCACATTAAATATACATAGACTTAAAATAAATCATAATTGGCATATTAACTACTTATAAGTCATATTTCTTACATCCTGATTGCACTGAAATAAACAAATTTATAGATTCAAAGTGATTGAGATACATCATTATCGGTATCACATCAGTTTATACAGGATGTTAGGGAAACGCTCCCGAAAACGAAACCAGACGATAGAACTAATGATACATTTGATGAAGGGTCAGAACCCTTCATCAGCTTACGGATCATTTTCATTGCTTTTTTTTAGTAAAACGATGTATTTTCTATGAGATTATAGTATCATTGTGCTTTACCAACATTTTGGAGCGAGGATAATGCACATGCAATAATAAAATATTGTAAAAATATATTTCTTTTTTTTATCAGGATTGATTTTTTTCTGACCCTGATCTTCGTTTCCGGAAGCGGTTTCTTAATACCTAATATATTAATATCTAGATACAACTTTAAAATGTACAAAACTAAGGCAAATGCTTCGAGGAACCACAAAACACGTTCATTCCACGTCTCTGAAGCTCTAGTGATTTGTTCAACATCAAAGGTGCAAAATGGCCTAAAATATACAAATATCTCGAACGTTTTAGGTAATTAAAAATTATATAAAAAGGTACATAATATATAAAATAGCAACGCAGTGCGAAAAAATGCACCAGCCAATCTTTATTGCATGATTTTGTGTTGAATATTCAATGTTAGATTTCGCTTTACTTCTCATATAAATCTAAACAAGATATGCAAGTAGCATAAACACACAACAACAAGAGCATAGATATATCAGCAAAGAAGTAGCCATTTTTGGGACGGTCTCAATCAACTTTGTACAATAAGGAAGTATTCTTGAACAAATATTATTGCTTGCACCAAACGCATCAATGAGTTGCTACTTATATTCGTCCATAAATCGCTTACACATATGCACGAGGTCAATGAACTTGGGTCGCAGGTTCGGGTCGAGATTCCAGCAGTCTTTCATTAGGTACCTGAATATTTCTGACGGGCAGCCTTCGGGAATTTGAAAGCTAGAATTAAAAATGAAATTGAATTTAAGTTATGAACTCGAAACAATATCTACTATTTCTACAGATATGTCAAAAGGTTTTATTACCTCACGTAAATGCTATTTATGACAGTGAAACAAAAATTAATCTGTCTACCTCAGTTCACTATTGGACACAGGCCTTAACAACAATTGACAACAATACAACCATACATACATACAAAAAAGTAAAATTGATAAAGCTAATGTGACATCGAATCTTTGTGGTAATATTTAGTTACCACAGTACAAATCTTGTCATCATTATACAGAAATTAAAACGAATATGATTTTCTTTTTTTTTATTTAGGTCACTTCACAGCTGACAGTAGGTACATGTATCAAATTCACAGATTATTACGCCAATTCAGGTACATATCATTACAGGTATCGGAATAACAAACAAAAGTGAACTTGCATTCATGACTGTTTACATGTATGTTAATATGAATGTATGTTAATAACGTGTGTTATGATTGTAGTAACTATGTGTCAAGTTAGTATTATATCTGTGTGTGGTCGTTTGCGTGCCTGCTTGTTTGTGTGCGTATGTGTATGTGTGTGTTTGTGTGCATATGTGTTTGTGTGAGGGTGGGTATGTGTGTGACCCTATATGCTTGAATATAGACGCGTCAGATGCTAATTCTTAGTCAATTCAGTAATTCAAGTCTCATCATTTTAGATTAAATATTTTATTGGCCGTATCATTCCAGACAACCATGTTTCAAAAAATGAAAGACTAGCCTCAAAGCATTACAGACGGAGCCGAATACGAAGCAGTTGCATAGTTTCTCGGAAAGTCATAGGTAGGCAGCGATTGTGCCATACCAGTTTATCATTAGGATGGCCTAACTTACCACGAGGCTCGTTCTCTGGGTCGCTTCACGTTGAACTTGGGCACCTCCTCCCTGGCGCGAGTGAATATCTCCCACGCGGTCACACCATACGACCACACGTCACTCTTCGTGGAGAAGTGCCACGGCTCCACTGCAGATTCGGGTGCGTACCTAGTACAGAACAAGGTTTGTTTCTAAATTTGCTTTGCACTTTGTCAATTCATTGGTTTATAAGCTACAATACTCGAGGGGTATACAATCAAAGGCAGCTAAATCCATCCACACTTTTTTTACACAAATACCAAAAAACATTTTTTTAAATTTTTACTTGGTAACTCTGTGAAATAATTTATTTGGCAAGAGGCGCTTGCAGTGATTTTACAGGTTTTTCAACACAATCATAATTAGCAGAAAAAGTAACCGTTTAATTTAAATAATTGTGCTAGACATAGCTGTTTTTGATACCAAGTCCTGGATTTAGCTGTCTCTGATTCTGACTAGTATGGATATAGCTGATTCCAACAAGAATTCTATTGCTAATGAAGTGTATCGTGATGATTCTGGGTATCGAGTTATTAGAGCAGATATGCATCAGGATTTCGAAAATACAAAGCAGATTAATATTTTAGATTATAGTACGTTCGTTAGCTAATAAGGAAACCATAAAATTTAAAGTTTAAAACGTATGACAAGTTACGATTATGAATGTGCTAAAGTGATAGACGTGTTTTTGGCCTTATTATTTATTAAGAAAGTAGAAAATTATTCATCGTACGTGGTTGTGATACTAAAATCAAATCTTAATCCTTAGCGTATTTTCTTCATTTTCGTGTCCTCTTTCACAAACGAAATGTGTACCTGCAATGCAACAGTTTTATCGAAACTGATTGATAGTGAGTACATCACTACTCTATACCTACCTATCAATTTTTGCCTTATTTACTTTCCAATTTGCCGGCTGTCTCTTACGTTTTCGAACACTTTTTTGTTCTGCTTCGGTTACTGGCACTTCCATGGCACTAAATATAATCTTTTTTATTGAAAATTGACCAAAAACGTTTAAAATTTTAATTAAAACTGCAGACACGGACGCACGCGTTTGTATGACAGATGTCATATTAAAAATTGGACTTAGCTGCATTTGTTTCTGACAATACTGGATAAAGCTGACTTTGATTCTAACGAGTGAGTTTGAAGTGGTTTTTCTTTAAAAAATAGCTGCGTTTAATACCAAACGGTTTACCTAACATGTACAAATTTGGATAAGGAATAAAATAGCGTTCATAGTTCTATACCTACCAGGCTATGGATTTAGCTGGCTTTGATTCTATACCCCTCACTCATAGCTGAGGGATATGAAATCAAATCAACTAAACATGCTTGTTTATGATGATGTTATGGTTGTGCTGCCGAACATACTGTACTCTTCCGAGCGCTTCCATATGAAATGTCTGCGTAAAATGCTCAATATCCGTTGGATTGATCGCATTCGGAATACGGAAGTGCTGCGGAGAGCCAATACCATACGGCGGCAACTCCGTTACTGTGGATACGTTTCTAGAATGGCAGGAAAACGTACGGCAAAGTGTTTCGGCACTTGAGGAGGGCAAGCATAAGCATGGCGGACAACTCCTCAGGTATAAAGATGTTTTTAATTGAAAAAATGCGATATTGAGCCTTCAGGGTGCGAGCAATCAGCTGCTCAACGATCGGAAACCAGAGTCGGAAGACTTTGAGGACAATCGCAGCTCTGAACTGGATGATCGGCGCGATGAACTTCAAGCACGCCCACCTTGTGCTAGCACTTACAACTACTGCAATGGTGTGCTCACCTGCTCGCATTGTGCACGTACATTTATCAATAAGATCTTCTATGTTAGCCACGCACGAGCACACCAACGACAATTTGAACGGAGTCGAAGAGGTCGCGGTGGCGGAAATCGGTCGAGGATAGTAGTAGTAGCAAGTTTATCTTTGTGGTACGCAAGGTCAATATTTTTTAACTAATATTGTTTCTGTTTTCATCAAAGTTGATGAAATGAATGAAGATGACACAAATGACTAACTTTTATATAAAACTAAAAGATGGTCGTAGATCGATCCATAAGCGATTTATTTTTTAATGCTGCCTATTCGTCCATTTTAAACAAAAAAATATAGCAATACGCATGTATATTTCTCATAACAACGTGTCATTTTATTAACCCTGGCCGTAAAGTAATTGTACGTAAACAACAACAGTCTTTGCAAATTCATAGATGACTGCGTTTGTGAGGGTTCGCCAAATCTATGCGTACTATTTACATCTGACTTAAGTTCGGTGAATGGAGAAGAAAATTAGAAGGATTAAGATAGCTGGGTAAAATTTAGATTTATAAACCTACCAATTAATAGGCAGTAGTCTTTCAGTCTTGAGTCTATATGCATTCTCTTCTTTAGGAATGATCCTTGCGAGGCCAAAGTCTGATATTTTTACGTGGTATTTATTCACGACTAAAATGTTCCGCGTCGCTAAGTCACGGTGAACAACGTTCTTGGCAGACACGTGATCCATACCCTGAAATTAATGGTGTATATTAATTTGAATAGTTTATTCGCATTATAATAACGTAAATCTTAGAGCCCTTTATAGCTTTTCAAGTTCTATACTATCCAAAAGGATATATACTTTTTAAATATAGTTTCCATAAAACTCACAAGCTGAAATAGCTTATTCATGTTCCAGAAAAAATGGTTCCTATTTAATTAAATTATATTTATTTGTGTATGTAAATCTTTACAGATATTTTTACAAGTCGGACTTTACATCAAGAAGAAATCGGCATTTCCTAGGACTCACTCTGGGAAGAAAAGATGAAACAAACCACAGAGGTGTCATTTTTTATACCGTAAACAAAATTAAAGAAAAGGTCTGGGTAGGCCTTTTGAATTTGATTGGCTTAGTGATTATTATTATTCTGAACATTGAAAATACTACAGGAAGACCCTGAGGGAAACTAGTTCGATATACATTCGTGCCTACCGTAGCAATGTCCTTGGCGTATTTGAGGAGATGTGATATACGCAACTTGTCGCCTTGGAACTTGAGGTAGTAGTTGAGCGAGCCCTCCTCTAAGTACTCCATCACAATGAGCACATCCGAGCCGTGGTCCCATGAGTATCCCAATATCTCTACTATATTTATGTGCTGTAAAGACTGTAGAAGAAAAATAAAAAGTTCATCAATACAATTTACCAAGGTAAATAAAGGTACATGTACAAGTTACAATACGCCGCGAACAGTCTTATTACAGTCCTGATTTCATTTTAACTAACTCTACAAATAATACAGTATGTACCCGCCTTCATAATTTCCAATTCATTCTTGAAATCTTCATACAAGGTCCCATTTCGCTCAGACGCTTGTCTCGTTAATTTTTTCACCGCCACTTCTCGCCTTTGAGATTCTTGATTGTCGCGCTCCATCCAACCTTTGTATACGTGACCGTAGTTGCCCTGTTACATAGGTATTAATATAGATAACGTTAGTGGTCGAAAAAATATATAATCGGATTTTCAACATGTTTTTTTTCTTTGCAGAAATCCCCTCTGACCCCCTCAAATGGTCATGTCTAACCGACTAAAAACCAATAGCCGGGGAACCAGGTGTACCCTAGGAAATTCCTGGTACCCCGACGAACCCCGGACCATCCACGGCATGTAGATGACCCCTCGTATGTGGGAACCACGGTATTCCCGTTCTACAAACTAAACTGGCGCGCGCGCATGACAGCGCGTCGTGCCGCTAGCTCGGCCTGCTTCTGCTAGAATGACAGATGGCCTCACCTGCCACCCCCAGAGCTGCACTTATGGAAGACAGAGTTCGTTCGCGACCTCCGGTGCCTGAGTCGTCTGTGGTACATCTGCGGCAAATCTTTCCAGATCCCGCGCCGACGTCCCCTTCGTAAGTACAACTTGCTCACAAAAGGAGACGGCGGAGTTCCACGCGCTCTCGCTCCGTACCATGGCCGCAATCATGGTACGTGAGGCATACTGAAAGTGCCTGGATCTGGCCACTTACAATAAAAGAATGAATAAACACTTATGGAATTCGAAAATGAAAGTATTTGGAAACATGTTACTGTTTAATTTTCGAGATTGTCATTTGTTTTTTCATTGTGACGTCTTTTCGAAAATTGTGTCGCTATCAAAATGAATTAAACTCATGATTTTCGTTCAATGATTTTTTATGATTTTCGTTGAGGCTTAAATCATCAAGAGAGTTGATGAAGAACGTTGGTGATGAAGCACCATGTCACTGCTTTGTGTATTCGTGGTTCTCCATAAAGAGGCAAGTGTAGGTCGGCCGGCGACTGCGATTACAGACTCTAATATTGACACCGTACGACAACTTATTGAAACTGACAAAAAAATTACTTGCCAGCAAATTCGTCATTGTCTGTCTATAATATCGTGACGGGTGACGAAACCTGGGTATACTGCTTTGAACCCGAAAGAAAAAGCTAGTCGGCAGAGTGGGTCTTTCCTGTTGAAGATTTACCGACAAAATTTAAGAAATTTTAAAAGCATTGGTAAAAACATGTCTGCTGTTTGTTTCGGCAAATCAGGACATTCACAACAGGACAAATCACTACAGTATCGCTTGAAGATCAATGGACAGTGACTGCAGATTGGTGTGTCAACACTTGCTTGCTCAGAGTCTTGGATAAAGTTCGCGAAAAGCGTTCTCGAAGCAATGTCCGAGCCTTGAATCGGCTGTGAATGCGTTCCATGAAGCCATTGAAGAGATCCCTAAGGAAGACTGGTACAACTGGTATATTCCCTATTATCAGAATTATATTATCAGAATTCAGAAACTTTCAGTATGCCATAAGTACTAGGCGAGAGAATTCCCACTCCGATGGCCGCCACGAGGTCACGCCTCTGCTCAACCTACGCCGGGAATTCTGCCAGCGTTGTGAGCGCCGTGTCCACGGTCTGGCTATCGCAGTGGTGACACTCAGGCATTGGCTCTTTGCGGATCAGACACAGGTGAACCCCGAAACAACCTTTACCGGTGACCATCTACGTCAGCCGGTATGAGAGAGGTACGTGTCCAGCGCTTGGTTACCCAAGTCGTTCCTTCCACTCCTCCACGAGGACCTGGCCCAGTTCTGATCTTCGATTTCTCGAGTCTCAGGACTCCTTGCGCCACTGATGAAGATCCGCAAGGGCTCTCGCCTCCAGGTCAAATGGTGGAGTTCCGGCCATGAGAGTCGCCACCTTAAAGAAGATCGTGCGGTATCCCCTCATGACCTTGATGCCAGCACTCGCTGCGGTCATCCCAGTATAGCGACGTTGCTGGCCTTCAAGGGAATCCGCCCATACCGGGGCTCCATAAAGGGCCACGGACCGCACAACCCCCGAGTAGTCTGCATGCATCAGCAGGTCCCCTCATGTTGGGCAACAACCGCGCAAATGCCTGCGCTGCTGCAACCAACTTGGGGACCAGATCGCGGAAATGATATCCGAAGTCCTACCAGCCATCGAGTACGAGCCCCAGATACCTCATCGAGGGCTCGATTCCGATGCGAGTGCTCCTGCTATGAGGCTAGATCTCTGAGGTGGCTTCCTCCGTGACCGATGAAATAACAACGGCTTGGATTTGTGCAGAGCCACCTCGAGTAACAGTCGCCGGATTCGCTCCACGACTTGGGCAGCCCCGTTCGCTGCTTGTAACTTCATATTTATACATGACTAGCTTTGTGGTAAACAGACAGAGAACTGTAAAACATTTCTTAAATTTCTTGTTATTTAAAGTACTAAGTCGAAGTATTATTTAAAATTTAACTACTCTATCGTTCAAAAAGATTTATAGCGATAATATTCTTGGATTCCATATCGTCCCAAATTTCTAAGTCCCGAGTCTCGAAGAACGATTCGATGAATCGATTGTAATTTCAAAATAATATCTTGTCTAATTTGTCGACCGGTGTTTAAATCTTAATTTTTATTCATTATGTACGTTACTTTAAAATAAAACGAATAAAATATCGAAAACGTTTTAAGAACTTTTATACACTTCATTGCCCTTAGAATGTTCGTTATTATCTAGTGCATTGCAAGCGAACGACATGAGGGTCGACTCACACTGCCGATCTTCTTGATGAGCGTGACGAGGTAGGTCTTGCCCTGCGACACGATGGACTCCATGAGGCGCGGCGCGGTGGCGGCGGCGAGCTCGTCGGGCTCGTCGTCCAGCGCGCGGGGCGGCGGCGCGCTGCCCGCGCCCGACCCGCGCAGCGACCCTCGCAGCGAACCGCGGAGCGCGTACGACAGCGCGTTCATGCTCTCCAGCGAGTTCGAGCTCTTGTTGTCCGCGAACTAGGAATGGAATAATATGGTTTATATATCATATAATCACACTTGTGACTTATTTTCAAAACCACTATGACTTATTATTAATACAATAGCGCCAGACTCGTAAAAGGTCTAATCTAAGTGACTTTGAAACGAAGTCTAAAAAAGGTATCTATCGTATATACCTATTAGTTATTTTGCTTAGTTTAAAAGAAGGCCAAAACCTCCTTTCTAAGGAGAGGCCTATGTCCAGCAGTGGACTATTAAAGGCCGTTGATGATGATGAATGATGAAAAGATTTTAAAATAGTCATTAAGAATAGTACATCTTGTGATAAAAGTAAAATATCTTCATAATGCCATGGGTCTTCGGAAAATCTTTTTGAAATTTAGAGTTACGACTATAGAAAGTATGAAACGTCAAACGGTACTTCTTACATTTCATGGACATTAATGACTTTATTTGTAGAATCCATTTGGAAATGGACTTCGAACCCATTTTTAATCTATTTAAATAAAAATGAATCGCCTAATCTGTTGCTAAGCGCAAAAATCGAGAACAGCTCGACCAATTAGGCTAATTTTTGTTTAATATTTTCGTTTAGGTACAATAAACATTCTTATAGAAAGAAAAACATTAAAACAACAAAGTAAATTCTCAGTGCTAATTCACACCTCGTGCGATTAGAACGCGTTCTTAGTGGTTAACAAATATAGTAAACAACTAACCGGTTTCTTATCGCTCGGCGCAGCGCGATCGGCGCCCGGCCGTCTGTTGTGTGAAGTTAATATGAACCATATTCTGAATGGCTAGCGGACGTGTTTACAATGACTGCGATGAAATTCCATAGTTGACCAGCGTGGTGAGACTGACCATACATATTGTTTAGAGGAGAACATGGAGACAAATGAAGAACTAACAAATAAGCGGTTAAGAATCGAGAATGGTGAAAAAGGTTGGCAGACGGTTGCGAAGAAAAGAAAATCTATAGATCTTTCCAGCACGCAATCGGTAGAAAATATGTGGCAGATATGCGTATATTCTAAAGAAAAACTACCTAAGCAATTCGCTATGGCAAAGTTACTAAACGAAAATAAAATAACTGGAGTCACAAGAGTTAAATATGTTAACCCTTATAAGGTATCATTCACTTTTGATAAGGAAATTAACGCCGAGAAGTTTTTATCTTGTACCGCCTTAAGTGAACTTGGTTGACGCCGACAAAAAACTTGGGAAGTTGACTTATGCTATGGAATCATCAAAGATATAGATGTGGAACTATCAGAGGCGGAGCTCATAAAATGTATTCGGGCTGATAAAGACCTTGTGACCGCTAAGCGTATGAATAGGAGAACGGAGGAAGGATGGACTCCGAGTGAAACCGTGAGAATTGGTTTTAAGGGTAATTCTTTACCAAGTCATATTTATTTAATGGACCTACGAATTGCTGTCTCTCCGTTTGTGTTCCCTGTGACACAATGCTCACGATGCTGGAGGTTCGGTCATACATCGAAGATGTGCCCCTCTAACAAGCCTCTCTGCCCGAAATGTGGCAAAAATGATCACGCAAACTGTGATATACCTATTTATAAGTGTGTCAACTGCTCTGCTAATCATATTTCACTATCAAGGGATTGTCCAGTTTACGCAAGGGAAAGACGGATTCGTGAGATTATGTCACAGCTGAAGTGTACTTATCAAAAAGCCGTGACTTTTATTCCGCCTTCTCCGCGTCGTACAGCCGAAGCAAACAAGTTTTTAATTAATAGCAACAATGGCCTTGCCTCTCAAGGATTATTTAACACCAGTGCACCGAGTATTGACACCGAACAATTCGAATTAGCTGAGATCAACGGGCGACCAAAGACAACTATCACAAAAAAGACTCACAAAAAAAAGAAAACAAAAGTTCCGGTCCACCTGTCCGATAATGTTATAGTGGATATGTTTGTCACTGACTCTAACCCCGAAGATTCAGCTGACCCTCAAGATTCTCAAACTACACAACCTCATACAAGGAAAAAAATCTCACGAAATATCGCCACTTCGGCGTGTATGGGATAACATTAAAGAGATGATACATAACATAAAAAATCAGATTCAAACACAATTTAAGGATGGGTTAAAAGTGGTTGTAGATTGGCTTAACATATTCCTAAGTAATTTAATACCCGATATGTCTGTTTTAAAAAATATATTTACGTCAGTTAATGGATAACGCTTCCAATACATTAATTAGATTGAACATAATACAATGGAATGCCCGAAGTATTAAGCCCAAACTAAAGTCATTCGAACAGTTATTAATCCAAGAACACATCCATATTGCGGTGGTAAGTGAAACATGGCTTGCACCAGATACTCATGTAAATATCAATAATTACTATATTTTTCGTCTGGATAGGGATGGATATGGTGGTGTGGCAATTATAGTGCATAAATCAGTTCAAACACAACGGGTTGAAATACATAGAACTAATTCTGCTTTAGAATTAATTCATATAAAATTATTTAATTGCAATCAATTAGAACATTTAATTGCCATCTACTGTGCTCCGGAATCGTCGACAAATTCTCAGACATGGGACTATTTGTTTTCTATGGCAAACAGAAAGTCGCTTATATTGGGCGATTTTAATGGACACCATTCAAACTGGTCTTACAAAACAGATACGAGGGGAAACCAAATATTAGATTCAATATTAGACTATAATTATATGATATTAAATAATGGTAGCCCTACACGTTTTCAACTTGTAAACAATGTATATAGAAAATCTTCTCCTGACTTATCTATAGCGTCCTCTGATATCTCTTTGGGTTTTGATTGGATGGTATCAAATGAAACGTTGGGAAGCGATCACATGATTATTAAAATATCTACTTCATTTTACTCAAATGAGCAGTATCAAAAAAGAAGAAATTTCAAAAGGGCTAACTGGACAGTCTATGAGAGTTACCTTGATGAAAAATTTAATACTTATGATACCTCCACTCTTCATAATCCTCAACTAGCTTATAATTCGTTCTTAAATATTTTATACGATGCCGCCGAGAAGTGCATCCCTAATATAAAATTTAGTACTAACCCTACAAGTAATTTTCGGCCTAAACCATATTGGAACCCCGAATTATCCAAGTCAGTGGCTGAGAGGCGACTAGCACTAGCTAACTTTCGACGTAACCCCACCCCAGCAAATTTAATTGCACTAAAAAGGAAAATAAGTGTGTCACGGAGGATGCTTAGACAGACCCAAAGACAGTCTTGGCATCAATTTTGTAGTTCTATAGACGAAACAACCTCAGTGAGCGGACTATGGAATAAAATTAGGTGGATTAAAGGTTACCAAACACAAAAAAGACACATTGACCCAGATACAGCCAGCCTTCTTCTATATAGCCTAACCCCTGACGATGTACCCCGATGTAAACCTATATTCTCTTCACAAAATTCGGCTCTAGATATTGAAATCACGTTGCAGGAATTAAATCAAAGTATTAAAAAAAAAAGACACTGCACCTGGGTTCGACAACATTTCTTACAGTATGATTAAAAATTTACCTCTAAACGCTAAATTAGTTCTAGTAAAACTGTATAACTCTTTTCTTTCGACGGGTTCAGTTCCTACTCAATGGCGAGATATTAGTATTATACCTATCCCTAAACCTGGGAGGGACACCCACTCCTCATCGGCACTGAGACCGATTTCGCTTATATCATGTTTGTGCAAAATTTTTCATGCAATTATACAGAAACGACTAGAGTGGTATTTAGAAAAAAATTGTATGTTTTCTAACGACACGTTAGGTTTTAGAAAGTGCAAGTCTTGTCTAGATAACTTAAGTCATTTAGTAACAAGAATTCAAACAGGTTTCTGTAAAAATTGTATAACAATCGGATGTTTCATTGATATAGATAACGCGTATAACAACATAAATATCAATAATCTTTTATATAAATTAGATATGTTAGGGGTGGGACATAAAATATGTAGTTACCTTTTTGAATTTCTTCGGGAACGTTATCTTAAACTAGTAATAAATGGTATGTCGGTGACCCGCAGCACCGGCAGAGGATTGGCACAGGGTGACCCATTGTCACCCTTGCTGTTTAATGTGGCAACTATAGACATTTGCAAACAACATAACACCGATTCAGTACACATCTTACAATATGCAGATGATTTCGTTATTTATTGTACACATAAAAACATATTTAGTGCCGCTGAACAATTACAAACTTCGTTGGAGAATATCGTAGGCAGTTTATCTGAGCTTGGTCTAGAGATTTCGCCCTCTAAGAGTAAAATATGCGTCTTTAAAAAAGGTTGTAATAGACAAAATATTTCTATAAAATTGAATAATACAAGCATACAAGTAGTAGATAGTGTAAAATATTTAGGTTTGTGGCTCGATCGATCTCTTAGATGGGCTAAACACATAAGAGAAATTAATGAAAAAGTATCTAAATTTCTCAGCATCCTTAAGTTTGTGGCGGGGATAAGTTGGGGTATACACCCGAAACATTTAAGAAAAATGTATATTTCTCTCCTGAGGAGTCGTTTAGACTACGGTAGCTTTTTATACGGTGACAGTAGTGAAACACATTTATGCAAATTAGAAAAAACTCAAAATCAGGCTATGCGAATTATCGGCGGGTTTATCAAAACGACACCTATCCATGTAATGAGCAGTGAACTAGCGATACAGCCGTTACATATACGTAGATGCTACTTAGCCGGTAAATTTTTACTAAAATGCAAATCTTTATTAACGAAGAGTAAAATAATTAACTACTTAGAGGATTTAGCCAACTATCTAATCGCATGGCGTAGGAAAAATAAACCTGTTTTAATAATAATGTACGAACAATTGAGAGAAGTGCAAGTTCATTGTAGCCAAAATTTAGAGATGTTTGAGAGCCGAGTGTGGATGGCCTATTTAGATATTTCCAAAAATTTAAAAGAGAATATAGATTACATAAACAAGCCTAAACAGCAATACAGGACATCCGTTTTGAGAGATTTGTGTTTTAATTATATGGATACTCGGTTTCCGAATTATTACCAGATATTTACCGATGGATCGAAAGAAAAAGGTGGTGCGGGGGCGGCCCTCTTCGATCCTCAGCAAAATACATTCGCTCGCTATGGAATTAGCGTAAAAATATCGATCATGTGTATTGAACTAATAGCTATCAGTGAAGCGTTATCTTACATTCATTCTATTGACCATGACAAGTTCGTTATTTTTACTGACGCTAAAAGTGCCCTCCTACATGTAGCTCGGTGTACCTCGACAATTCGAGGAACACCGATAGCATACACAATTATGAATCAAATTGTTGAGTTAGAACGGAGCGGTAAAACAGTACATCTTCAGTGGATTCCATCACACATTGGTATAACTGGGAACGAAATGGTTGACACACTTGCAAAGCAGGCTTGTTCTGAAGGTATATATATTTCAATACTGCCTTACTATTCAGACTGCCTATATCTTGTGAAAGAATACTGTTTTAAATCCTGGAAAGAATATTTCGATAAAAGATCAACCGAAAAGGGTATCTGGTATAAAACTATACAACCTGAACCGCTGGCTATCCCTTGGATTGATAACTGTTCTTTGAGTAGACATAAATTGATAACGGCTATGAGGTTACGCTCTGGACACATCCCATCCAGAAAGTTCACCTTTTAAAAACAACAAAGTAAATTCAAACACCTGTCCCTATCTGTCAAACATTTGACGTCAATCAAAACATAAGCGCGTTAGGATTATCTTTGGTATGCCTTCAAGTCGATTATGCTTTATGGATATTAATCTAGGCCTGCCCAAAATAACGTTCAAAGAAAAGTGATCACTACGAAATACGGATTATTTAATTATTATTTCTATTGGACTGCGAGAAGCTAATAACTATTGACAGAACGAAGTCTGTCAGGGCAGCTAATAAATAATAATATTGGCAATTTAAACAAATAATGCAGTCCAAATGTTTTTGTGTCAGAGTTTTTGTACACCTTGGTACTGTAACTAAAATGAACTTAATATCTGTAATTTAAATTGAAAAAAAAACATAAGAAGTGCCAATGCTAAACTGCCAAAAAAACTGAGATTTCGTTTAAAAGTACCGTTATAGCTCAGTTTTTGAAAAAATCTTATATACTCGGACTACGACCAGTACCTACATTTGTATTGAACAGATAAAAGAACTTCCTCGGTCTTTTTGTTTTAAATTAAAAACTAGTCGTATAAAAAATGCAGAAAAGTACTTACTGGATTGTCATACTGGTCGGACATGGTGCCATTCATCGACGGTACACTACTATCTGATATTAAGGACTTATTGCTTCCTGCATCACTTAGCTCGCTTGGTATGAATCTGTCACCTAATGAATAAAATAAACACTTTATGTTACAATTGTTTTAAGTATTTTGGAATTGACACATAGTGCTGATCATTTAGATATATCCGTTGAGGCTATCAGATTATTTCAATACGTATTTTAACAGTCTTATAATGAAAACATAAAACAAAGTTTCATCGCAATTTTATAAATGGTATAGAAATTAAAACTAAAAAAGATTTTAAACATCACTTTCACATGAATTTCATATTAGCTCATCGTCAGGCGATTATCATAAAAAGTCTTAGGAAATGAATGCAAAATTGCTAGTAACGTATTTTTATCGGTCTTTTAATACTCACTTGATACAGTGTCTGTATGTTCCATGTGCTCAAGTGAAATCTTTGGTTCTTCATACTCGTGGATAGGAACATATTCTGTGAAAAAAATCTTTTTAAATACTACAATGTAATGACACCATAGAACACAAATAGATATATTCATTATAGCAATAATAGCTACATATATTAAAAGCATATGTAAATAGTTTGATACAGGTTATATTGTGGGGGTAATGAATGTTACCTCTGTGCAACATGTGGTTCATATCTCGCATGATCTCCTGCGGCCGCAGTGGATCGGGTTGCCAGCACTGACGCATCAGCGCCCACACCTCGCCCGGACATCGCGCTGGACGTAACAATCGGTCACCGTTCTCGTAACTCTGCCAAAACAATTGATTATTTAGTATAAATATTAATTTTATTTCAAAAATCTATATTATAGGCTTAATTAAAATAAATTATTTTGAACCTATCTAAATTTCTTATTACAAGGTGGGCCAAAAGACGTCATCCGATATTGTTTGGCTCTCATTTTTTTTCTGAATAAAAAACTTCAATTCTGTTTTTTGATTATGTTTATTTGAACTTTTAGAATTTTATTGGTCAAGTCGAAAAGATGATATCGGCCAAATGGGCGCCGCCACAATTGATTGCTATACGGGCTCGTTTTATGGCATTTTTCATCACTTCGGCGAGAACTTCGGGCGACAGATTCTTGCACTCGTGTCTAATATTGTCCTTGAGGGCTTCCAGGGTCTCGGGCTTGTTCACGTAAACACGGGACTTCAAAAAACCCCACAAAAAAAAGTCTGGAACGGTTAAATCGGGCGATCTTGCGGGCCAGTGCAAATCGCCAAAACGAGAGATGAGGCGACCCGGGCCCGGCGTCTTCAGAATATCGGTTGTGGCTCGCGCAGTGTGTGCCGTTGCTCCATCCTGTTGGAACCACATGTCCTCCAGTCCTAATTCGTTCAATTGCAGCAGAAAAAACTCTGTTAACATGGCCCTATAGCGCGCACCGTCCGCGCACTGTTGTCGTTTGACCAGCGGCGTCCTCGAAAAAAAATGGCCCGATGACTCCTCCAGCGTGAACAGCGCACCATGCAGTCACTTTGAGTGGGTGTAATGGCTCTTCGTGCATCACTCGTGGATTTTCGGTGCCCCAGAAGCGATAGTTTTGCTTGTTCACGTACCCGTTGAGGTGGAAATGAGCCTCATCGCTCATTATGATTTTGGTCGAAAAATCGTCCACTTCGTCCTCGAGATTGAGGATGGCTTGGGCGTAGGTTACACGCGTTTGGCGGTCGACAGGCAGCAGGTGATGCACGGACTGGACTTTGTACGGGAACATGCGCAGGTCTTTGACCAAAATTCGCCTTAGGGACGACCGGCTGATGGCTAATTGCGAGGCACGGCGTCTGGTCGATGTTTCTGGCGACAGCTCGACATCCTCGGCAACAGCGGCGATATTCTCGGCACAACGGGCGCTCCGAGGCCGGCCACTCTTGGCAGCGTCTCGTGTGGTTCCATACTCTTCAAGGTTGGTGGCCAAACGGCGCAGTGTTTGCGCAGTCGGTGCCGGACGACCGGGGAATCGGCGACGGAATTCGCGCTGCGCCAACACCACAGACGAATTGTTACGCAAAAAAATAGACACGATTGTGCCGCGTTCTTGGGGAGTGTATCGCTCCATGGCTTGTTCACTTGTATTCTACTTCTGTCTAGTTTACAAATGTTAAAACAGATTTGACATTGGCCGCCATTTGCAAAAATAAGAGCATCTTCCAATAGGGTGATTTCTTTTGGCCCACCTGTTACAATAAGAAAGTTAGTTTTTACTTAGACATTGAAATTTCTGTGACACTAATATCCCCCCAAAAATAACTCAGTCACACGGCTGTAAACTCGCACACACAACATCAGCTAATTATAAAAGGGGTTATGTGCCGGGTATTTTAAATTTATACTTATTAATTGTGCAAAAGAATAACTACTCACCCGTGCGGTTAAAACAGGATTAGTATCACTAGGCGATTGTCCATACGAGAACACCTCCCAGAGTGTAGTGGCGAATGCCCATATGTCACCCATTACGGATCGCTTAGCTAGGTTCATGTCCTTCATAAACTCTACCGGCATCCAGTGCACACTGCAACACACAAGACATTCACTAAAACAAAATTTCTCGGCGATCGTAAATGACAATAAAACTAAAGTGGCAATGAGTATTTCTGAAACGAAGTTCCTTATGGTAGGATGTGGCGAAAGCAGAGGGATTTCACCAGAAAAAGCGTAAGTTACGAACAAGCGTTAGTCGCTATCTCTCTCGCTCTGTAGGCAGTGAATGCAGAGCGAGAGATATAGCGACTACTACTAAGAGATGGAGAGAAATTAATCCGTCTACTTGCATTGCGCATTATTTAATACCTCGAGAACAACACATCTGAGATTGAGATATGATGTTGAGAATTTGATGAGGAATAATAATAACCATCAAAGGTACATTTTCAAAAGAGCTCTATCTCCCAAGCTAGGTTAATCTATCCCTTAGTGTTTTCTCCTGTATCCCATGCGGTATTTATGTCGATAATTGCAGGAGTAGGTAACGTACTCATTGGGCGTGTAGTTGCGCAGCGTGGGGCCGGAGAGCTTGACGAGCATGCGGTCGCCGTCGTGCGCGGCCAGCAGCAGGCGGCGGCAGCGGATGTAGCCGTGCACCACGCCCGCCTCCGACAGGTCCCACAGCGCGCGCGCCAGCCCCGCTGCCACCTTCTTCAGGTGCAGGGGCTTCACGCGCTCAGCGTGCTCCCTGACAGAGGAAACGTTACGTATCATTCATTAGTAAATTCGAAGTATGAAATTAAATTATTGAAAGTAATGAGTAACTCAAATCTAAGAATGTAATTAAAGTAATGAAAACGTTACCTTTGTTACCGAAACTAAAGGTTTTTTTATTAACAATAACTTTTTAACAAATTATTTTTTATAACTTTTAATCACATCTTTACTCGATGTAGTTCATCGAGTACACAAATTAGTACATCAAGTACTCAAACTAATTTTTCCTCGCCACACTTTTATATTACTTACTAAAACTTAAAATATATTTTTTTACTTGATAATTCTTGGTCGCTCATATGACTTTTTGTACTCATCTTGAACAAACGGCAATACTAAATTGAGTGTTGAATAATTTACTTACCTCAAGTAGTCATCAAATGGTCCATACGGCAAGTACTCCAGCACAAGAGCGGTGGGTGAACTAAGAGTGACGCCATATAGCCGTACCATGGAACTAGACTGCACGCAAGCCCATTTGCTGGCTAACTCCACGAAGTCCTAAATAAATATATCGAACATTATTTATAAGTTAATTAAATATAACGAAACTAATGAGTTTCCTTATTGTTTGAAAATTACTATTTAATCTCTGAAAACTACTACCAAACAATTGGAAAAAAATTGGTTTAAATCATTTATCCTCAAAAAGTCAACATAAAAGCCACTTGCATGGGAATACAAAATAACATTTTTGTTAAATTATTAAGTACCGGTCACCGTAACAATAACTAAAATACATAGATTAACTGAGTAACAACAATTATGACAACATTTTAACTACAATTATTTTTGTAGTTAAAAAGTAAAGTAATCTTTCCAATAAAATTAAATACATTTATACAAATATAATAATACTCTATTCAATACACTTATACAAATGTATTGAATGGAGTATTCATTGAGGAAAACTATAATAACATCGCGCTACAACTCTTAAGATCTTAGCAGACCATAAACGAAGGAAACTATTAGTTTATAAATATGAGGTGATATGAACAGGATACGCTTAACGAATACAGGAATTGTATCCACTTATGCGGACTATTGTACATTAGTTAATGCAGGAATATCTATAAGCGTTAGCTGTTTAATTGAGTCGTTTATTTAGAAAAGAGTTATATTACCTTTATTTTAAATAGCAATCAGAATCTTCCTCTAGACATAGTACAATCAGTAGCGTTAGTATACTACAGTAGCAACTTCATTAAATAATAGCAGATAATAATAATAGCAGATAAACGAATGTAAACGCCACTTTATATGGGTCATAGTTTGATGATATATTTCTTTAATCATTACAGATTTCTTCATACATATTGCCGATTATTTTTAACACGCTTTTATGAGCTTGGTAAGTTGATAACGCTTTTTATTCTTAATGAGAAAATAATCATCATTAATGACTTAAAAACAAAAATAAAATAGTTTAAAAAATTTAAAAAACACGCTTTTACATTTTTAACACGCTTGTAACTAGCTGAGCTAAAAAGTAGAAAATAATTTTCTATAAGTTCAAAAAGAAAAATCATTTATCGTATAAAAAGTGAAAAGGTGCTTTTAAAGTATTTTATAATTTAATAACTTTACTGTTACCAATATCTATCAATATAATATTCTTATTCTATTGATATACGTGGGAAACTGTGTTATGATACCAGTGTTTTCCCTACGTATATCTTTAGAACTATACATACTAAAGATACTATTACTCCTGTTATATCATTATAACATATTATTATATATAACATATATTATACATAATGATCCTTACCTTTAAATAATCGTTAGCACTATCTCTCTGCAGTGTCTTAAAGGCAACTAACAGCTTTTTGGTCTCATCAAGCCTCCACAGCGCTTTGTATGTGGCTGTTATGTTCTCCGAGCCAGTCTTCTCAGAACCTATGTAATATAAAGATAAGTATATATTAAATAAATAACTGCTGCGGAAACATTTATTTAACTCCTTATCAGGTCCATCTAAAAAAAATTTACTCTCTCTCCCAGAATTTATTATGTGGATATATATATATATGTATATATATAATATAATTATATGTATGTATAGATGCATATGTATATATAAATACTTATGTATTGTGTGTGTTAGTATCTTTATTTATGTATTATTTATTCAAAAATATTCTAATGTAATTAATATAAGTACTATATATTTTATTCGAAAGCCATGTTATTTTAATTTAAAATTCAGTCATTTGTATTAGATAGTGTTTTGTTTTTGTGAAATTGTGGTAATTTCCGGCGGGTTTGGATAAACTGAATATTCGTACAATTTTCGAATATAAGTTCTTAGATGGAAATATCGCAGCGCTAACAACATGAAACATTGACGACGTGTTTTCGTTCATTATTGGTTTAATCGTTTTAGATCTATAAATATTAAGTTGAAGAAAGAGCCTCGCGGTCGGTCCGTGCCTATAGTCGACAACGACGACTTGAAGGCGATAGTGGTTGCACAGAACAAATAATCGTGCACATCACACAATTATTTGTCCTAGGTGGGTGAATGAAACTCACTCAAACTGAAAACATCTTTATTTCATTTTTTTTTTAATGGTTTGAAGTCGAAATTGAACATTGCTTTTACATTTTGGTATATCAACACCCACACATGTGAATTCTTGTTATAACTATATCATAAATAAACAACAATAAGATAAAAAAAATTACACAATTAATGGTTATAATATTATCTCAGTTTAGATAGTGGGCTTGAATTAAATACAAATTTAATACTATTGGATTCATATTTCTACCAATTTTTATAATAAACATGTAAATTGCTTACCCGTATATAAGAGTATATCCTTATTAGGGAGACAGCGGGGACTCCGGTTGTCTTTGAGGATGTCCTGGAGCTCGGCCTGGTCTATTCGAACACCGCGTTTGACTGGCTCTCCACATAACAATAGCTGTGACTTATCTGCAATAAACATAATGCTTAATAGTGGACATGCTTATTACTTACAGATCCAACAAACATTGTATTGTCATAATTTAATTACATTATTCTCTTTTTTTTATACCAACCCGTCTGGCCAGCGTGGTATAGTAGGCCAAAACCTCCTTTCTAAGGAGAGGCCAGCAGTGGACTATTAAAGGCTGTTGATGTGATGTGATGTGATGTGATGTGATTCTCTTTTTTTAGATTTTACTTCTCTAAAAGCCGTTATGATACACATTACTCCGACCCGAAATAAACTTAGGAAAAGAAAGATGGTAATGTTTGGAATGAAAGTAACCCAATAATCCGACAACCAAAAACCAAAAACCCAAGTTATTCATTGGAAATATTAATATGCTATTGTCCGTGTGGTGACGGATTAAGAATAAGGAATGTCACCACCCCTATTCATCAAGTGGGTGTCGTAAAAGCCGACTAAGAGAAGGAAAACTTGAAACAAACCTTATACCAACCCGTTTGGCCAGCGTGGTATAGTAGGCCAAAACCTCCTTTCTAAGGAGAGGCTATGTCCAGTAGTGGACTGTTATAGACTGTTGGTGGTGTTGGTGGTGGTGGTGGTGGTATAATATATGTGATTTGTTTTTCCATATTTTCAGTTCAAATATATAAACACAAAAAACAATTTTTCGAAAATTTACATAAATATATTCGACTGTAAAGAAAGAAGTTCAATAACTTACCATACTCTGAAGGCGGTATGCATTCGTTTAAATATATTCTTCCTTCTGGATTCTGATGACACCCGATCAGCCTCTCAATGCCGTGGTACTCCTCATTGTTAATCGCGTAACAATGTCCTTTATATTCTATTCTATATGTTTCCGTTGTACTGTAAACAAATTGCACATTTAATCGCTACAGCATTGATAAAAACAAAAATTCAAACCAAATTAAACATCAATAAATCAAAAATACCTTATTCAAACATATAAAATGTATCAATAAAGAAAGAAAAACAAAGCTACTGTGACTAGACCACTGTCGCAGTTCGCAACTGCCTTTTAATGCATTTAACGCTCTAAACATAATTGCTAGGTAGCTACTTAATGCGCTCACTTCATAACAATTCAATTCGATATCCGATTGTTGATATCCGATTTGTCACTAATATTACATACAAATCTACGAAAAAAATACGTTAATACTCAAGAATATATTAACATCACTAATTAACTAAGTAATTTGTTTTTAATCAGTTGAAACAAACCTACATATCTGCATTGATAAATAATAAAGTAAAAAAACCTACATAAACATGCAGGCAGCTGTTTAATGTTTACTCGAGTGTAAACTATGTGTGTAATTGTGACACAAACCTGTTTTTAGTACAGACATCCAAGTAATAAACATTGTAGTCATCTTGACACTGCCTTAGTATGTAGCAACCGTGTTTTTTGGCACGCTTTTCTTCTAATTTACGATAGGAAAACGCACCCCTGGAATAAAAAGTTTTAATATAACAAATTCTCAGTAAAATTATTAATATTTATATGCACCCCTTTTAGAAAGAACTTACCCAACAGGCCCGTGACATTTAATTCGCTGCAATTCTTTTAGTGATGGAGTTTCGTCGTCTTTTGATAAATTGAATGTCCATTTGACCATTAATCTGTGAACAGTATGAACAATTTAAAGATCCCTAATATAATAACTTGAAGCTCCTAATATTTGAACAGATAAAACAACTTGACACATTAGGAAGTGATGAACATCATTTAACATTGATGAATAAAAATAAGTCATGAAATATTTCTAATTTTATGTTTAGAGATCCTTTCACAAATAGTTACTGCAAAATTGAAAGACGAACCTGTAATATCCATCACAAACTGATATGAAGGACGATAATTGCTCTTCAGATTTGAATTTAAAAAATAAAGGAGTGCCTCTTCTTGATATTTCTAGCGAGTTTTCACCGTTTCGGGTTAAATAAATTAATTCCTCTATTTTACATACATGGGACCACTGAAATAAAAACGCATGTTAGAACTAACTACAATAAAACATGGTTATATACTTATTATAAACTAAAAAACTTGTGACCACACCAAATTTCACGTACGACGTGAACATACCCATAAGATTTCAGCCCAATGTCATTCTCATATATAGTCTACCAGACACAAGCCAATAAAATATTTCTGGGAATTGTGCTAGACAATATTTAAGCAACAAGTAATATGGTTAAAAAGTTTCAATTTTGTTTGCATGTTTAAATAATACATACACCGCTATTAATGCTAAAAACTCGTAGTGCTTATGGCCTTAGTCCGTGATAAGGCATGTCAATTGGGAATAGAGAGAGACTTATCACGCTGCCTTGGGGTATTTTATTATAGCTGTGTACATCAACAATCAAGTCTTGTCAGGCTACAATAGCAAAGAAATTGTACTTACGTCACGTTTAACAGTATTATAGAGTCGTATTCCAGACTGGTGAGGATGAAAGGGAGCCACTACCACTTTCACAGGAGTGACATCATTGCCGTTCTGCCACAAAACGTTGTCATACTCTTCAGCCAAGTAATTCGGAGCCATTATATACAATTGTTGCAAGTATAAGTTTTTAATGTAGCTAAAAGTCAAATATACATAACATTATTGTAACGATTCCTTGTAAACCTTAATGAGCGTGTACCCTACGTATTTTCCAGAATGGATAACAGGTCCTGCGATTGTTTATCAGTATAATACTTACTTATATTGGAAAGTGAAGGTGAAGAAGGTATTTATATCGTCGAATAAGTTGGATTTTATTATTATTAACTAGCTGAGCCGCGCAACTTCGTCTGTGTCTATCAAAGGAATAAATTTTCCATATTTTTGCAACATTTTTCATTTATGCTCGACTCCTGTTGGTCGTAGCATGATATTATTTTCAGTTGCGGGTAAGTAGTTCCTGAGATTAGCGCGTTCAACCAAACATACAAAAAACATCTTCAGATTTATAATTTTAGTGTAGATTAGTATAGATAACCACGACTGAAATTAACTTTATTAGATGATTTTAAACCCCAAATAGATGTCTGTGTTCTTTTGTTAACCGAGTTCTTAAAAAGGAGAAGGTTCACAAATCGACTGTATTTCCTTTTTGTTTGGTAGCTCAGAAGTCCATCATTTATGGAAAATCTTTTTTATTTGTAAGGGAATATTTCCCACTTGGTCCAATTGAAATTTGTAGAAAAAATCTAAAGGTGAAAATTAAGGACTGAGGAATACAGTTACAATTAATCATGATGTAGTCGCATTGAAGCCGATTTTTTTTTTTAAGTTTATTATATTTGAGAATAACTATCATGTCTTAGATAAGTTTGACTAATAATATCTTTTTAATGGTGACTTCTAGTTATACGTAAAAGTTTACTAATAGCGTCACACAGAAATCTAAAAGAACTATGTATTAGGCAATGAATATATATCGATTAGTTTTGCAACGTTAAACGTCACACAACTTGATCATCAGTTAAGTTTCATTATTATTTATACTTGATAAAGTTCATTATCCTGTGGAGTTTCTGCCCACACTTATTCACCAGGTATAAAACACCTCATATTCATGGTTTGGTAAATGAATGGCAACGAATCCCACTACATGGGTGAAGCAGAAATCTGTGTGATGTGATGACGGATTTACTTACAACTAAACTAACTCAACCTCATTGATAAACTATTAAAAATTAAATACATCTCTAATACCTGTGAACCTCGTGGATAACATTAATCATAAATAGTCTTCATTAATCATAATTTCTTAAAATTTACAATTTAGATTATCATTATCGTTTTAAAATTCAAAATTTTCTTGACATTTCTCATCTATTCATCATACCATATATCATACCATCATTTCATCTAAAATATTATCTTGCGCCCAGCGAAGCGAGAGGACATCATCTAATTATAATATATACCTACTTTTACTAATATCTGCAAGATTGTTTGCATAAATAAGGATTATTTTATAGACTAATTTGGATTAAAGTATTTTTTATTGACAAAGGTAATATGTGACTACAGATATGCAAAAGTTTGCTAGAATACATTTGACCATGACACCACACACTAAAACATTATTTTAATATAGGTAACGGCATCCGTAGGTTTGATATGAAAATGAACAGATGGTTCATCATCACATCAACAGTCGTTAATAGTCCCCTGCTGGACATAGGTCTCTCCTTAGAAAGGAGGTTTTGGCCTACTATACCACGCTGGCCAGACGGGTTGGTATAGGGTTTGTATCAAGTTTTCCTTCTCTCTGCAGTGCTGGTTGTCCTGCGTTAGCTCCCTTAGTCGCCTCTTACGACACCCACGGCATGAATAGGGGTGGTGACACTCCGTATTCTAAATCCGTCCCCACTCAGACTTGGTCTTGGAACAGATGGTTAAATGAGAAGATTTGATGATTCCATTATAGGCCTACGACCAATCCGAGTTACAGGTATGACCCTGTCCTGAAGGTAAAATCTCGTTCGAATTTCAGATCCAATCTCCTCTCGATTTCACAAATGTCATAAAAGTGAGTTTATCGTATTGTGACTGAAAGTTTGAATCGGTATTCTGCTAGTCTTAGTAATAATATACCACTTTACTCCGAGGAATGAAATTTTTCCTTGTGGAACGATGGCGGAAAGTTGCGGACAATTCCGAACAATTCATCGGAGCACTCTCCATGATTTATGCGATAGAGAATGGAGAGTAATATAAGTAATATTTGTTCTTTTCAATTCTTAAGTTTTCTGTTTTTCTTATTTTATTTTTCAAAGATTATTACGTTACGGTTAATAACGCAGAAGTAAAAAGAGCAAAGAACCAGTCTATTGCTTACAGTCTCCTATCTAAATTTTAAATTTAAATGTGATGAATAACAATAAGGTATATCTAATTCGTACTAGGGAATAAATACCGATTTGAATGCGTATAAGTGAACAACGTTTTATAACAATCTATAATCTGAATCATCTACTTATAATATACGATTTAAACTTGGCAACCAAGACCCGGGTCAACTTTGATAATAGCTGTAATGATGACCTCGTCATCAGTAACAGTTACCTTCAGATTTAGAATCACTTTAGATTTAATATATAGATTTAACGCGGTATGAGAAATGTATACAATGCTCTTCGTCGCATCTCTAATGCTTCTGTAATACTTGCCATCTTGACACCTTTGTTTGCAAAAAAACTATCTCTTATAAGTTATATAAAAACCAAAGTCATTCTACCAAGACTAAATATTTGCAATGTAGTGTATTATCTACATCAAATACGGTTCTTTTTTCTATTTTAAGATCTTTAAGAAACAAAACAAAAAATTCAGAATACTTACCTGATTTCTAAGGAAAATAAATTGTAAAATATCGCGGCAAGTCGCTATGTTTCGAGATAAAATTAAAACCGAAAAGAAATTCTCAGGCAATGATAGCAAAGTTAGCTTTCGGTTCAGCAGGTCAAGTTCAGTTTATGACGTGCGAACTAACTAGTCTTGATTTCAGATCCATAACCAATATCTAAGTAAAAAAAACTTTTATTTGAATCGATTTAAGAAGTAGTCTATCGCCTGCGTTTATTTCGATATTATGTAATGATAATAATTTATTTAGATAAAAAGTACAATAATTTATAATAAATGGTTCTCTAATTTATAAATGAAATACAGTTGTTGTTTGTTTGCCCGAACTAGGTTGAACCTGTGTCTCGGGCGATATATGTTACCTGCAATGTCGTATATGTCTCTCATAGAAAATAATAAGATCTAAAAATAACTTTTACACTACCTAAGAAAAAGCAGAAACCCAGTAACTACAATTAAATAATAGCTTTCTTGGAATTTATTAATATTTATTCAGTACATGTATTACATGTACATGTTTATCAACGCCTACCGCTTTTATTCACGTGTGTATTTGTAGGATGTGCGTTTAGTTTTCGAACTGATCGACGGGCACTTATCTAGGGATGAAGGTGTCAGGCGCTGCACAGATGAATAAGTTACAAGAACATCCCAAAAATCGCTCACATCGCATGTACTGAATGTAATACAAGTACATGTTTATCAAACGACTACCGCTTTTATTCACGTGTGTATTTGTGAGATGTTTGTTTAGTTTTCGACCTGATCGACGGGCTAGGCTATACTATAGACGGACGGAATAGGCTAATACATACATAAAAAAAGATGTTTTTTTAATAAGTAAATATGATTACTGATCTATACTTATAAAATTCCATTCCCGAACTGACTGACTGATTCATCAACGCAGAGTCTAAACCGATGGGGCTACAAACGTAAAATTTTGACACCTGATGCTTTTTATGTTTTAACTATGAACGGATTTTTGGAAATTTTACCCCTGAAGGAGGAAATTAGAGATGTATGGAAGTTTGTCATTTTCAAAGTTAGAAACACGAAGCCGCAGGCATTAGCTAGTCGGTAATAAATATTCAATAAATAATTCAATACTTACTTCACGTTATGTCCCACAGAACAAAGCTTGGGCAGTTGATCATGTGCATGTTTCTTAGCGACATGGCCATGACGCCTCACTATAACTTTTGGTATGTATTTTTTAAAATCCCTCACAACGTCGTTTACCGACAACTTTTCCTCCGCTGTGGCACGTGTCCTGAATTAAAAACAATTATTTAGTTGCAGTTCATCACATAAATATCGCCATTTTCGGAGATTCAAGACGTGATTATTTTACATAACTTAAATAGTAAGCAATGAATGGTTTTAAATTGAATCCTTAATACATTTAATACAACTTTGACACTCAGATACAATAACAAGAAATTTTTGTAGAAAAATATACTTTAGAAAGATTAAGAATTCATTTTCGATTTTTTAAACTTTTAAATAAAAAAAATCCAAACTAATTACTAATTTAAATATTGACTTTATGGTTTGGTTTAGTCTTTGCTTGTATAATGTGCGAAACAAATTTTATGACAAAAATGCCTAAGAAACATCGCAGTTTTCAGTTTACGATAGTGTTTTGAAGAGAAATAACAATGTTGACCTATTACACAGTCGAATTTTTTCGCCTTTCTTTTTATCAAATGTGCTGTTAACGCCTCATACAAAAAAAAATTGCAATTGTATTGCAAATAATTGATTAAAACAATGCAAAACAACTTTTTAACCACTGACACCTCCGAGACTGTGGTATCTTATTTGGACTCCAGTTCATACAACCTCTGACCTTTCACAATAGAAACAGCTTGATTAAAGAATGGAAAGCTCTAAACCTTGAATAACAAAGTGCAGGCCATGCCATATGAGGAAGAAACAGTTTTGCTAAGACTGACGAGAGAGAACAAGTCAATCTTACAGGTGAGGCACCAGAGCGCACTCAAAAATCGACTACAATCTACAATTTCCATGGCAATTTGGCCAAATTTCCATGACCAAAGAGTCGGAAATTTACGACTTCTTTAACTAAGGCTTAACTAGCTAGCCTACTACTAAGGTATTTTCAAGACATTATTACAATCACATTTGGTAACATCATTACATATAACAAACAATTTAAGAAGAACCTTTCCATAACTAGCTAAAAATATCTCTACACAGCAATAAAAGTTGTTACGACAAAACAAGATCTTCATCATGCAAATTAAAGAGATCATTTGATAATTGTTCAGTTATACCCAGTACTATTGTTCCATCATGCAGACACCATAATTACATAGTAATAGTCCATTGTTTTACACCAAGGTATAATACAGTCGCACACAACAGTTTATGAACTACATACTGTAATTATATATGTACAGACTGTCTCATATTGAGTGCTAAATTGATAATTATAACTTGAATGCCTTTTTTAGCTAATTCGATTTTACGTGATTGAAAGAAAACTAGAAGGTATTTCTTAGGAAAATAAAAACAATATTTTCTCAATAAACATATTCAAATATATAGCCATGGTGAAGTGTTGAAATTACATTATTCCTATGGACCTCTGTGGGTTTTTACAGAGAAATTTTTTTTTATATATTTTTATATTTTCAAGGACTGAAATACATTTTAGTTTATCAGAGAACAGTCAGATAAGTCAGTATCAGAAAAGTGACACTAGTTATCCTAATGAAATTGTCATTTCTCAGACATGTGGATGTGTCTGAACTGCTGGTGTAGTTTAAAGAAATACAACTACTTGAGTTATAAATTTATACTATTTTAAATGTTATTATACTTACATATCTGCAATTCCTAACCCAAGCATTTCTTTCTTGTGCTCTGGGTATTTAATCTCAGGTATTCTGTTCTCATATACATCACTCCTTGCTTGTAAGAAATAATAGTCATAAGTTGTTTCATCTAGTGTTATCAAGAGCTCTAATCTTGGTACCTGTTAAAAGTGTTAAGATCATTAGTGTTGAGATTCATTAATATTGATTAAACCAGTATTTCATTCATATTCTTTAACAATACTCCATTCTCTATTTTATGATTCTTATAACTATACCTGCAAACACACCAATTGCAACTTAACAACTTACGTTTCCTAATGAGTGCTTCTCTTAATAAGCTTTAACACATCTAACATATGCCTATAACTGAGTAAAAACATATACATATAATACTTATATAAATCTCTACAGAAAACTTTTATATACTTTGTTCAACTTCATAATTATCATTTTCTTTTATTACGATAATTCATAACTGAATTACAATTTCTCTTTTCAACTTTTTTTAATATCTAGTTGTAGTAATTACACTTAGAGACTGTTCTACAAAACATTGATTCAAGTAAAATTTAAATGCACAACATTGTGTCCAAAAATAATATACAATTGTTACATAAAGCTTAATTTATGCAATAATCTTAATTTCACTTGTGCATTCATAACTATAATGGAAGACAATCCCAATGATCTTATTCATTGGGATGATCATTTAATAAAAGTGAACTAATTCTGGCAGGAGCTGTGAGAAGCCCAATATCAATTTTATTGGAGTGCAATGGGAGAGGCCTATGTCCAGCATTATGGACTGTAATAGGCTGATGATGAAACGAATTCTATTCAGTCTTACGTCTGTTGAATGGTAATCTCAGAGTATACATACTCTTTTGATGTCAACTCTGATCTGTTTGGTTTATAATACATAAAGGTTTAAATTACTTTAAATTTGAAATGTGTGTTTTATTTCATCATCATCATCATCAACAGCCTTTACTAGTCCACTGCTGGACATAGGCCTCTCCTTAGGAAGGAGGTTTTGGCCTACTATACCACGCTGGCCAGACGGGTTGGTATAGGGTTTGTTTCAAGTTTTCCTTCTCTCTGCAGTGCTGTTGTCCTGTTTTATTTGTTCAGACTGAATTGTCATATTTCTTGGTATTCAGAATGGAGAGCTTGAAGCAGTAACATGTGTATTTTTTATAAATTATATCCATAAAATAAATTCAAAATGTTAAGTTTAAAATAAATAGTTTAGAAGTCTTTAAGTGCTTTTTTTGGTTTGAAAATGATCCCACTTTTGAAAATGGCCAGGCACTGTATACTGTATAAACAGGCTGGTAGATATTTTTTTTACTACAGTATTTCTTTAATTACTTACACAATTTTTTTTTGTATGTCATTCGATTGAAAAGCTTTTGATTAAATAATAAAATTGTTTAAACTATTCAATAATTAGACAAATATTTTCAGCTAAATTTAAGGAAACAACCTTTTTCATGTTATTTTATATTTTTGGAGAAATTATATTTCTTTTTTTTACAGATATGTTAAGTTTTCTTCAACACCATTTCTAGACAAGTGCTTTGGTTTATTTATAACTTAAACATCAACTTTAAAATTATTATTGTTGTTGTAATTATATATAAAACTGACAATAATTTTTAAACCTAAAATATTTTTTTTTGTAGGTGATAATGTTTGTAAGGTAAGCTTAATTTTTTGTTTATAAGAACCATACTTGTAGTAGTAGTAGTGTTTTATATATGTTGGTAATGTTTTCAAGAGCTACGTAAAATTACAGCAATTCGATAATACTTATTGTCACTAACCTTGAAGCGTATCCTGAGTTCATAGTCCCTGGTACTGGATAGAACTTTTGCGTTATCTTTAAGAAAATAATCTTTGCCTCTAACTCGTAATGCAAATAGGGTCCGTGTCAAGGGAGGTATTTTATATTTCTTACATAGAATTATACACAATTCTTCCGCAGTTAGCGTGCTCGAACGTACTGGTATAATATTCGGTGTACGGTCAGTTACCACTGCCACTTTAACTGTCTCTTCGACTGTTGCCATCGTGCATTTGTGCCATAAAAAAACAAGAGGACGCCAACAGAGATAAGACTCAAACCCACTCTGATAAATGCAACTTCACATTATCACATATTTTCTCCAAACAAGTCCTATTACATCACTATTGGCATTTACACAGCATCTGTGTTACTCGAAATTCATAAATTCCAAAATGTTTATTTATAACATTGGTTAAATTGTTCATTACGCGTAGTATTTTTCCTACAGACAGAATATTTTGAGCTTCCGTGTTATTTTCCCGTAATACGCTGAACTGAAGTAAGTTTGACATATTATGTCCATCGGATTGCTCTAAGGTAGTAAGGTGTATAAAGGGCGAGTTAGTCGATAACAAGAAAAATTCAATTTAAACATTTACATAATGATTTTAATCAATTATGACAATAGGACTTGGAGATATTATTTTTTAGTAATATTAGGATAAGTATTAGGATGGGATAGTTATAGGGATTATACCTAAAATTAGTTTATTACTCCCCAAAATTTAAAAAAAAAGTAAGAATTTTCTTATTTGTTAAGTATAATAAATATAAAAATAGAATATTCTAAAAAAAGAATATTCTTTAATAATTCAGGTACATTCTCTATTAAGGCGACGTCTGGCAAACACGGACGTAGCCACCTCGCGGCCATTATAACGGGTGGAGGAGACGCACTCACGGGACGGATTTTCTACGATATCTCGCTACCGGCCGTCATACGCTCCAGTGACAGATGTTGCACCCAGTTGCATCCTTCTGCGAAGACGTCATATCGCAGAAGGAGGCGGCGGAGAAGGTCCGAGAGGACAACTTCAACTCGGACCCAAACCGTTGCCAGCGAACCGGGTGGAGGTGCACTTACCTCATCTCAAGCCTGAGTGTGAGATGAGGTAAGCGCGCTCGGGTGCACGGGACGGATTTTCTCCTCCACCCGTTATGACTGCAATGAGGGCAAATTGCCAGCATGTGCTGCGCCAAGTACTCACCACAATCACAGTGGTGACAGGCAGGACTCAATTCCCTCCTAGAGCCCGAGTGCAGGTACTTCAAGAAGTAGCCGTTCCCGGAAAAAAAGAGAAGGAAAGGGTCTCGTGCTGCAAGTGCGGAAAGGGTTGAGCTCCTATCTCTTCGGGCGGGGGCCGACTGCCACCATCCGACAGATCGGGACCCACCTCGCAGAGGAAGGTGAGGCACTTGCTCCAGCCTCCACCCTGACTTACACCCGTTTAGTTTAGTACAAGTTCCAATGCAATACCAAGTATTGGCAGAATATTATTATGAAGACACATCACACGGACACACAGAAAGAGATAAAATTAAGCAAAGGAAATATTCGGTGATGCAACAATTAGTTGCTCCCCTCTATTCGTGGATTTTTTTACTAAATACACTGAATAAGTAAGGCAGTAAGTACTGCTAGTGGTCCAAAGGTTTTGAAAAAAGCTGTTCCCGGATCCTTCCTATTTTAGCCAAAATTTCACACTGTTTTTTTAGTCGGTGACCCATCGCTAACCCGGGGCGTGATGGTTCGTGGGGGTATTGGTATTAGTTGTGGGTCCCAGTTTTCGCATTAAGACTAAAGAATGGTCCTTTATGCGCTAGAAAAGGTTGGCTATGTGAGCTAACCAAGTTCCTTTCAGAAGCGTAGAAGCCTCCTGGGGCGTTGACAGGCTTTTAGAAGCGATTCTGTATCAGGTATGATACTGGCCCGTTGCGTGGCCAATCCCTTGCATTCCAGGAATACGGGCGACTGTTTCTTCTGCTTACAGACATCCTCTCCAAAGAGGACTGTCCGTTGCGTTAAAAGTGGATAGTTGTAGGTTCAGGGCCAGGTGTCCCGTTATAGTTTTTACAACTTTGCGGATGTCTAGTCTACTAAGACTGATCAATTTGCAAGTATGTCGTAGTGAGATTTTAGTCAGCACCAGTTTGGACTATCTGCAGCCAGCAGAGGTTTCCACCTCCAGTTGTGTGCTTCATGAGTACGTCGTCCAACCCAGGAGCTAAGTTGGTTAAAAGGCAGTGGCAGAAGTATAATTGGGCCGGCTGCCGCAGTTGCCAAGGCCCTCTCATACTTCTGTGTGAACTAATAGTAATTCATACAGGAATAACACAAAAGGGCATAGGCCCCTTTAATACATTGGAGGAGTACGCTATTTGTTGTGGTGAGCAGCTCCAATGCTTGATGACATTCGAGAACACTACCAGAGTTTATTTTGTTGCCCTCCAGTGCTGTAAGGACAGCCATGCTGTAAAACAGTATTTGAATATTGTAGTCCTTAATACCCTTTGACATTGTTGTTGTGGTTACGTAAGTTATTACCAAGCATTTGCATTGAAATATGGTACTATATTGGCCTAACCCTAGTAATATTTTTAGGCTGTCAGAAAAGTCCTGAGCGAGTCTTGGAACTGTTCGTGTAGATCCGTCGGTCTCGAAATTTCGTTTATTCCAGCTTAATCTCTGACATTTTCATGTATCTGAGTGTGAAGATATTGTGTTTTGAGATCTTATCGCATAGGGCTGCTATTAGTGGTTAGTATTGCACTAACTCTTTAGATTAATTACTAGGATAAGGTTAGTAGTAAATAGTATATTAAACGGCAATCATTTGTCCAGTTATCTTAATTTTGCCCCACCTATTTAGCCGATTGCCTTTTTAACACAATATACTATTATTTTTTACTCGTCTACGAAACTCGGCAACAGAAAATTAGATTGAGGTTAGGCGATAAAAGAAAGCAACTTTAGGGTGAATTGGACCTTATTTTGGCGTGGCAACTGTTTCAAGAGTTGCTATTAATTAAAATAATTGAAATGTGTTTAAATTAGAAAAAAAGTAGTAAAGGTACTAGGCACTAGGTAGGGATTTGTTTGACTGTCGAATATTTAATATTTATTTTTTGTTCCTTAATACTTTACCCACATTATATCATAGTCTTGAGGTCTCATATTTTATCAACAAGGTGTTGTCTCATATTGCTAAATAGTTTTACGCACCAAATCTAATAAATAAGCATTAGAAAAAGGAGTTATTCAAAAGATTAAATTTGATGGCAACATTGCAGACGCCATTGATCATTTTTGGTTGGCGTGCGATATTGGCGGTAGCTCGCTGTCTTTGTTCTTGTATACGATCAACGTATTTTTTGTAAAGTTCGGCTTACCAAGTTTTATTCAACTATAACAAGTAAGAATTAAATTATTGTTCATGTAGACCTCAAAAAGCTAATTTTTAACTTAATAATATTTTGCACGTGCCAATAGTTAACAAAAGCCGGTGTCGAATTCAACTATTTTTTCTGCGAATGAATAGTGTACTTATTCTTTGTAAATAGTAATTATTATGATTGCTATCCATTTCATTTTTCGTAATAATAGTTTGGTATATCGCTGATCCTTATAAATACTTTCGTTCGTGACTTCGCTTTCTGATGGATCAACTACCCACTACCCCTCTTTTGAATTTCTAGTTTTTAACTAGTACTGTTTGACTTGTTATTCAGCAAACATTTAAATGTTAATTAAGCTATTCATGAGGATCACAAATAAATCAAATACGACTACGATTTTGATGTCTCACCAAAGACTTCGGGTAGACGAAAATTTACTGTTAACGTTTTTTTTTCACTTATCAACTGTACATTTCTTATTGTGTAGGTACCTCTTAAAGTGTAAGTTTACACAGGTACACATAAAGATATTATCTAATTCCATGGTAATTAATACATGTTAACCAAATATTGCTACAAAATCATATTCAATGGCAAGATTTTGTATTTCCATCAATCTCTCAACTTTTGTATACACATCACTTTTATATACTTTGTTTTACTATTATAAGTTTACTTTTTTTTTTAGATTATGGATGATGATTGGGATGATGTTGGGGATGTGGTGAGTACATTATCTTTATATATATAATTCTTCAGTGCGTGTGATAGTGACTGAGTGTATGTGAAACGGCTGGACCTATTTTGATGAATTTTTTGAGTGCATTCAAGTGGATTCGAAAAAGACAGGCAGGCAGTTCAAACAACTGATAAAAGCCTGTATTCTGAGAGATTCCTATTAATTGTCTTTCTTGGATTCAATCTGTCGAGTCAATTTTTGAATTGATTCAAATTTTTTTGGTTACGAATTATGTACTGGACAATATCTGGGTCTGCTAGTATGTTTATTGAACAAGTCCTGAAAAATATGTTATTGTTAGCATGATTATATTCCAAACACCCATATAATATTTCATAAACTAACTCTTAAAGAAAAATACTAAAGTCTTCTGTTAGCTACTAGGCTGAGCTGTATGAATTCATTTAAATTGTTTTTTGAAATCCTCTTATGTTTTGTTAAGTTAATGTTACTTTTTATGTTATTTGTGTGTTGAATATTACTTTTTACCACTTTAATGAATTTATGAATTATACCTGTTACAATTATAGTAATTTGTACATCTCTTAATTATCATGTAAATGTTATGTACCAAGTGATTAATTATGGCATTATTCATGATGTCTAGGCAGTTAATAAAATCTACAATATGAGGATGCAATAAGACAACAAGCTTAGTATAGGAATAAAAACCAAAAAACCTACTATAATTGAGAGAAATCTTAGACAAATTAAACGCCAAAATCCATAAAACAGTTTATCATACTGAGCTTGCCTAAGAAATATAAATACATTTACTCAAAAAACATAACTTCTAGGGCTGTTTGAATGATGTACCTACATATTCTCCAGAATAATCAAAGTATGTATTTTAAATATTGAAATACTTTAATATTATAAAATCAATGTGATGGAAGAGTATGATTACTATTCCTGTATAACAGCCTAAAAAGACAAGTAATTACTGTTTAAGTTAAAATACCTCAACCTGAGAAATGCACCATGTGGTTTCTGGTAGTTCAGGTTTTGTCAATACAAAACCTGAACTACCTGTTTCCACTACTAACTACTATATCAGGCCAGTCAATGACTGACCTGTTGGTATAGTTTTTAGTTAGTGATAAACAGCAGGGAGTGCGTAAACTGCGCTGAGTGATGTGCATCTAATCCCCATATGGGATACCACTTTGTGTGATCCACAAATTGTTTAGAGTATAAGTGTTTTTCATGACCATTTCATAAATGTTTATAAACTCTCCCATAACACAGGATAAACTCTTAGTGCATCATCATCACAATCAACAACCTATGACAGTCCACTACTGGATATACTCCTCTCCTTAGAAAGGAGTTACCACTTACTTACTATACCACACTGGCCAAACAAGTTTTCCTCTTTGCAGTGCTGTTGTCCTGAATAGTTTTGGCATGTTAGTCGTGGGCCCACCTTAGGAGTGGTGAAACTCTGAGGCAGTCTGATTCCAAACTAGGCTTAGCCTGTGCTTTTGTAACCCAACTGCTGATAAACATACCTAAATATTTTTACAAAAATTATACCCAGACAGATTAAATGATCCTGCTCATTACAAAGCTGTTTGTTCTGAGTGGGAATCAAACCCACGACTCATCGTTAAGGTCACTACCTACTAAACCAATGGTTAACTGTTGATGATTTGATAAAAATACATTTTCAGCAAACAAAGCAAAGCAATTTTATCTTACTTGTGTTAGTTTAATTGCAGATGTATTTAATACCACATGTGCCAAATGCTGTTTCATATGATTTTCCATAGATTTTGACACGAACGAACGAAGATTATAACATGAAAGTGTAACAGGGAGATAAACAAATTAACTCTTAATTGTATTTATAATATTAGTTGAAATTATTAAAATCTGCTTTTGTGAACCTTACACACAGCATGTACTAATAAATGATCATGGTCCCTTTATGTGTGTCTTGGTAAGATTGCACTTTTTTTTACAACCAATATGATTGCCCCTGTGGGTTGTAGCTATTTCAAGACAAGTTAGAATAAACATGAACCTCCAATCCTATTGTGTGACAAAAAAAAGATAACCATGTCCCTCAATGAATATTATAACTTAAACAAAAAGAATTCAAGTTTAACTGGCACTTCTAGAGTTTATTTCACTTCAACAAACACAATCACAAAAAAACCTCTGGAGCTTTGTTTTTGTTAGTATTAATAATACATAATGTATTGTTTCCTAATCGTTTTACTTTGGGCGCATGCCATGTGAAATTGTATATTATTATGTGTTGTTGAAATTTATTGTTTATGTTCGCCATATCTCTAACATTAGTTTTAAGTGGATGATTAGAACTGAAGGGTTTTAGAGTAACGTGAGAGAGGCAAAGACATTAAAGCGATAAAAGCGCGAAACAGTAAAAGCCGAACGTGAATATTAGAAGTAGAAATTATTTTTATACTTTGCATAAAAAGATTAAACAATATTTAGACAGTTTAACTTCCTTTTGTTTTTCTAAAAGTCTAATACCGTCCTTTCCTAGAAATCTCCTTTCTAAGGAGAGCCCTACTAAAGACTGTTAGTGATTGATGACTAGTATAGCTCTTTGAAAATATTTGTACTATGAAGTTGGTGGACCTTCCTCCACAAAAAATCACCCCTCCTATCAATGAAAAAATGTGCCGAATTATACTTATGAGTACTTCATCATTAACATGGTTCAGATTCTCTTGACAAGTTAGACATTGAAATTGTAAAGTGCCAAAGTGTTAAACACTTAAACACTTTTTGTGTGTTATCAAAGTCTAGAATTATTTATTTTATTTTAATAACTATGCTGTCTATACCAGCAGAAAAATCTGCAAATTTAAAATCCTGAGAAAAGATACATTACTTTAATACAATAAAACTGATTATGTGATTGATACATATTGTGTCGTTATCAAGGGTAACCACTTTGGGGTCAAAAAACGGATAACATGTGCTAGATAGTAAGTAATTTACATTTAGACGTCATTTCATGGCATGCCCTAAAGCTCAATAGCTTACTAAGTTTAGGCAGACTACAATATTGAAGTTTTACCTTGCCATTCCAATTCTCTTGATATAGAAAGAAAGAAATAAACATTTATTTGCACAGAATACAGGTGGTACCAGATTTTACAAAGGTGTATAATGTTCAAGCTATATTCTGCCTGTACTAGGCATGTAAATATTTATATAGAGACTCAAAACATTAACTAATGATAACTATTAACAAAATGTCAAAAAAAAATATTACATAGAAATTATTCAATTTAGAAATTATTAAATTTATTGAATTATTATATCTAATTTATTAAATCTACAAATGATCATATACATCAGTTTTATATGGCATGAACTCTTTCATTGTATAAAAGCACTTATCAACTAGCCATTTTCTTAACTTAATTTTAAAATATTTAAATGGAAGTTCCCTAAGGCTCTTAGGAAGTTTATTGAAAACTGAAATGCACATGTGATACACATTCATTTCATCAAAGATGTTCTACAAAATGGAATCATCATTTTCGTAGGATCTCTTGGTCTGTATTTAGTAACATGATCCCCCTTGAATTTAAAGAAATTATTATATTTCCTAACAAAGATTGATACTTCAATGTCACCAAGGCGGCAATTATGAAAGGGGGACTACCAACCTTGTAACTAAGCTAAGCTAACTAAGCTAACAAATGTTATTAAATTATTTTTCTTTAAAAAAATCCCAGATATCAACCTAATTTTCAGCGTTCATATAGCCAGCTCATATATAGCCCGTTACAACAGGTCACAAACCATATAATTTAGCAATCCCACTAAGAATCCTCATATTATAATCCTATTTAATATTTTATAGGCAGTGCAGCCTCCAGCTTATGACAACAACTATGAAAGGAAAGTTGATGAAGGTCACAGTCTCTCAAGAGGTAGAGGGTTCCAATCCTTCAAGGAAGATGATGGTACGAAATTCATTTTACATTATTGGTAGTAGACATATTTATTATACCCATTCATGTGCCACCTTGCCCTAAAGATAGCTGATTAGTTTTATGTAGTATATTGTAATAATATAAATAATTATACTTAATAAAAATACTAAATAATCTATCATGTACCTTTCCTTTTTAAGAACTTAATGGAGAAAACGGCAGAGAATATGAAAACGGATTTGGTGGAGACAGACGTGGGCGTGGTGGACGTGGTGGAGGCAGAGGTCGGGGTGGCAGAGGAGGCCGCGGTGGTGGCAGAGATAGGGAACCTCGCGACTATGAAAATGGTAAATATAATGTGATATATCACAACATAATTATGAAATGCCTTTCTTGACATTATTGTTATTTAATATTCAAATTGACTCATAAATTAAAGAGGTAAAGCGATTTGCTGAAATAAACAGTAAATTAATTATCTTTAGTAGGTAATAGGAATAGTCTGTTTCTCTTTGATAACATACATATACATTACTAATTTCTTTTCAATCAATATTTCCAGATTAAATGTGTAGTATAATTATTGATAACATGTTTACTTAGTATTCAAGATTTTAATTCTATATGGTCGTTTCCGAAGGTGACCATGACAATGACGACAAAAGAGGCGGGGAGAGAGGCGAGCGTGGCCGTGGTCGAGGTCGTGGGCGCGGCGGCCGCGGCGGTGGAGGCAGCGACAATGGTGGACGCAACAGCGGCGGAGGAGACCGCAACGAAGGCAGTCCTGAAGACCCTGAAAAGAAGCCCCCAGTCACTTATGTACCGCCTCCCCCCACTGAAGACGAAAATGAAATATTCAGCAGTACTATTAGCTCTGGTATCAATTTTGATAAGTTTGATCACATTGCAGTTAAGGTGAGTACTTTTTTTGTAAAACAAGATTTTTACACACCTTTTTAGGATCAATTAAAATAATACCTTCACTAGTTTTTAATTTGACGTTTTACCTATTTTAAGTGTACAGTTGTGTGTAAAGTTATATGACCTCGACCTAGTATCAAGGTTATATAACTTTTTTAGAAGTAATCATAATGCCCTGCATCTTCCTTTGTAGTGAAAATGTTGCACTGGCAAAGAACCAATGAATTTTCTCAAAAACAATATTTTACTATCTTAACTTTACAATAATATTATATTACTACAGGTCAGTGGAGAAAATGCACCAAGAGCTATTGATAGCTTTGAAACTGCAAACTTGAGGAAATATGTTGTGGACAATATACTCAAAGCTGGATATAAAAAGCCAACACCTATCCAAAAAAATGCTATCCCAATAATTATGTCCGGAAGGGATCTCATGGGCTGTGCACAAACTGGCTCAGGAAAAACGGTAAAATAGCATTAACAACACATTATTTGTGTAAAAATGTTTTCATGTGAATTATTGTTTGGGCAGTTAAGTATATTGTTTTATGTTGTTCTAAATCAAGGATTCCCAAAATGGTCGATATCGACCCCTTGGGGTCGACATAAAGGAGAAATCGACCCCTCTTAATTATGACAAGTCTTATTTAAAAGTTTCAAGATACTGTATTAGTAGTTTTGTGAACCAACATGTAATAATAATGACTGATATTTTGGTAGGAAGTATCATTGTTGTACTTTAAAAAAAACTGAACAAGTCGGCTATCTGATGATAAGGGTCTGAGGTATCAGTTCATTTTAGAGAAGGGGTCTATTGTCAAAAATAGTTTGTTAATCCCTATGGGAATGTATATATAACGATGTACAAATTTATTTAAAAGTAAATTAATTATTATTGAATGGTCACTATTTTCATTTGGGTTAAGAGAACATGTCTGTCTTTTATACACTCTAAAAAAATAAATTGACTTGACACATAAGTTTGAACCTTCTTTGTTCTACAAAAAAAGTTTGAATGTAGATCTTTATAGTGTAATTTATAGTTTGTTTTGAAAAGTTAATTTTCTACATGCTATCACTATTGTGCGGTCAAAGTGTATTGTGATTGGTTGCATATGGGAACATAAAACGATGTTTTGCTACTGTTATTCTATTACTCATTTAAGAATTCTTCTTTCAGGCGGCCTTTCTCTTGCCTATTATAAATGTTTTGCTTCAAGATCCAAGAGAATTAGTAGTTGGAGCAAATGGATGCGCACAACCTCAGGTGAAAAAAAAACGAATGTGCTTTAGAGCACACGACTGAAGTAAAACTTCTTGGCTATGAGAGAGAGAAATAGAAAATGTGTGCTAGCACCTCTCTCTTGCCCTTACAGTAATATACGAAACGTAACTCTCTCTTTCTATCTTTACTAACTTATATCTACCTCTCAACTTCCGTTCGCCTCGCCCGATCCCACTTTTCGTAATGCATTCGACACGCATTCACCAATTTACTCTCCAAGTCAAGCAAGAAGTTTTACTTCAAAAATATATTTCACTTTCAAATCAACTAATATAACTTTTGAACTCAACAATCTCTTAACGCTTTTCTGCAATATTTACTTATTTTTCTAGGTAATAATAGTATCACCAACTCGTGAATTAACTCTCCAAATATTTAATGAAGCAAGGAAGTTTTCATATGGATCAGTACTAAAAATTGCTGTCGCTTATGGAGGCACAGCAGTTCGCCATCAAGGGGACAACATAGCAGTAAGTCCCATGCAGAAGTTATATTTAAGTTCACACATGTGTATAAGTTACATGATCCATGTATAGGTAATATATGTGAATCGTGTTTACAGTTCAGATTTAGTTTCAAACATCAACAAATGCTGAAAATAGTAAACATGAAATGGGATATAACTGGAAGGGGATTAGGCAGTCTAATAATTTGATTGATAAAGTAGAATGGTAGAAGACAAAACAGTGCTGACCTGAAATGATGATTAATTAAAATACAGAGGAAGCTATAAACATTCGAAGTTTGATGAAAGTATCTTTAAAATAAATGTAATCAAATGTAATTATATTATATGTTATTCTATTTACAGAGGGGTTGTCACATTTTGGTTGCAACGCCAGGACGCCTCCACGACTTTGTGGACCGCTCCCGCGTGTCGTTTGATGGAGTTAGGTTCGTTGTGTTGGACGAGGCAGACCGTATGTTGGACATGGGCTTTATGCCCAGCGTCGAAAAGATGATGGACCACCCTACCATGGTCTCCATTGTAAGTTACCTTTTATGTGTTGTATAAACAAGACTGACTTATGTATTATTATTATTCTTCACTTTTTATTTTATTAAACATATCAAACAGATTTGGCGAGTGTGATATCCACTTTTTATGTAGGGGTACTTATAATAAAACACCACACAATTATGTACATAGGCACCCAACTCCACAGCACGCCCGCCCGCTCCGAGTGTCAGATCGGAAGTGAACGAATGGCGTTGCCGTTGGCTTGCGTCCTATATTTTATTATATAATGGTATACGTCACATCTTTTCCTTTTAATATAATTAATTTGATCTCTTAATTTTCTAAATCATAAATCACTATTCTAATTTACGAGATACACTTAACTTTGCTGGTAATAGATGACCGTAAATTACTATTCATCTTTATTAGATACATCTCCCTGATTAATAACTTTCCATTCGCCTTCTACTTTCTTCAGATGTACAATATTTCGCCTGTACTCCTGGCCAGTTTCATCGTTCCTTACGTTTATGTCACTTCCTTCAGCGCTTATTACGGTATGAGGTGTTGGATTGTAGTCTGGAGTTATTTTATTTTCTTTGACAAAGTTCTTTACATAGACTTTCTCGCCAATTCCTAATTCTCTGTCTGTAGCCTTTCTCTTTCTGTCTTCGATTAATTTAATTTTGTCTTTTGTTTCTTTATCCCGGTCTCTAACTTCTAAATCGTTATAATTGGTTTCAAGATCTGTTAAAAAGGGTAATTTATCTCTGAATTGCCTTCCATAGAATAGCTCCGATGGAGATTTACCTGTGGATGAATGCGGTGTACTATTGTACATTATTAGGTATTTTAACAAATCGTCTTTCCAGTCTGATTTCTCGCATTGACTGATTTTAAGTCTTTTAAGAATATCCCTGTTTTGTCTCTCAACCTCACCGTTTTGTTGAGGCCAGTAAGGGATCGTATTAAAGAGTGTAATTCCATGTTCACTACAAAATGCCTTGAATTCTTGACTACAAAATTGTCTGCCGTTGTCAGCCGTTATGCTAGCAGGATTCCCGGTACGTGAAAAAATTTTCTTTAACACTCTAATTGTATCTTGTGCAGATATTGTTTTCATGATCTCAATCTCTTTGTATCGACTGTAATAATCGATAATCACAAAAAGATAATTCCACTAGGCAAAGGACCCAAAAAGTCAACAGCAGTGTCCACCCAGGCTTTTGAAGGCAGTTCACGCCTTTTCATAGGTAATGGTGGATTAGGAGCCGAGACTAAGGTACACCCTCTGCAATTTTTTACAGTTTTTTCGGCGTCCTTGTCTATTTTCGGCCACCAGACCTTGGTACGTAACCTAGCCTTCATGTTGACTATACCTGGGTGGCCTTCATGAGCTGCTGCCAAAACTATACCCCTCAACTAAGTAGGAATTACTATCTTGGTACCTCTTAACAAAACGCCATCATGTAACCAGAGTTCATGTTGAAATAATTTGTAATTATTTACTGAATGATCCCAATTATCATTCAGTAACCCATCCTTAACCAATTTAAATTCCTTATCGTTATTCGATACATCAATAATTGTCTTAAGTGGTAATGCAATAGGTTGTGCATATTGCACAATCTGGTTGACATGATATTCGCCTCCAAGAGAACCTTCTTGTGTGTTGGTAGCCCTGCATAGACGGGATAATGGATCTGCTATGTTCGATTTGCCCGGTTTATATATTACTTTATAATCATATGTTTGTAATCGAAGGACCGTACGTTCGATTCGTGCACAAGGCTTTGATCGTATACCAAATATGACTTCTAGGGGTTTATGATCGGTGACAAGTTCGAACTTTTTCCCATATAAATATATATGGAAGTGCTCGATTGCCCAAACCAAGGCTAGGGCCTCTTTTTCGGTCTGGCAGTACCGTTTTTCTACGTCAGTTAGACTTTTATTACCGAAAGCAATAATACGGGGCTCATTGTTATCGTACTGAATCAGTACAGCACCTAGTCCTACGGGACTCGCATCAGCGAATACTTGGGTACGATCTTTTGGGTCATAGTAGCCAAGGGTTGGAATCTTGGAGAGACAATCCTTTAATTTTGCAAAAGCTTCTGCTTGCGGATTATGCCAAAATGCTGTGATGTTAGCATTCTTATGTACTTTTTGCCTAAGTAACTGACGAATTGGTTCTGTCAAGGTGGACAAATTGGGAATCCATTTTCCAACGAAATTAATTAGCCCTAGAAAGCTTTGGATTTCTTCGATGGTTTCCGGTGATCTAAATGTCTCAATTGTTTTGATGTATTTGTCAAGTGGTTTAACGCCTGAAGCCGAGAGTTCGTGACCCAGAAATTGAATAGATTTTCCGTTGAAAACACATTTACTTTTATTCAGTAAGACATTGTTGTCTCTAAGTACTGTTAAAACGTGCTCAAGCCTAGTCTGACTTTCCTTCATATCTCGTCCAAAAACAACGATGTCGTCTATAAAATTTACGACACCGTCACAAGGTAATAACATTTTTTCCATAATTTTTTGGAAATGTTCAGGTGCGCAAGAAATTCCAAACATTAGTCTTTTATACCTAAAAAGTCCTTTACTAGTTATAAATGTTGTAATTTCTCTGCTATTTTCTGACAATTCAACGTGATGGAAAGCATTTTTAATATCTAATTTAGAAAAAAAACTTGCTTTACAAAACTTAGGAATTAGTTGTTCCATGGTAGGCAAGGGATGATTCTCTCTTATAATGGCTTTATTAGCAATTCTCATATCTAAACAAATACGAATATCACCATCAGGCTTCAAAACTGGCACCATCGGAGAAACCCACGCAGAAGGCATATTTACCGGTTCAATTATATCCAATCGTACTAGTTCATCCAATTTTTTGTTTATTTTTGACTCCAAAGGAATCGGAACACGTCTGTAAGGTTGACAAACTGGGCGAACTGTTTTGTCAAACATGATTTCTAACTGAACGTCTTTGAATTTGGGGAATGGTGTTTGTTCGATAAAATGACACCCAGACCCAATTTTAAAACTTTTAGAGAAATAGCCGTTTGCTTTCCTAAAAGGTTCCTAGATCCATTTTCAATAACATAAAATTTTGAAATTAATAAATTTGACCCCACCTTTATCGGAGCCTCAAATGAGCCTAGTACCTTTAATGGCTCTTTGGCACCATATGCCAGGAACGTTTTGTCGGAAAGCTTCTCTTGGTTAGAGACTCTAACTTGAGATTGCTTCATGTGCTCCCAGGTTCGATCATTTATAATATTGGATTTACTACCAGAATCAATGAGCATTTGAATTTGAATTCCACCTACCTGACAGTCTATCATTGCATCGTCATCGATGTGGAAAATATAATCTACAGATGTAGATCCTTTGTTTTGGGAAGACTCAACTTTGGGTTTTTTATATTTATTGTTTGGTGGAAAGTTAGAACTTTTTCGTTTATTGGCCCTGGTTCGGCAGTGTTTCTGAAAATGGCCTTTAAAACCACATTTTATGCAATTAGCATTAACTGCAGGGCAAGTACTGCTGTCACTTTTGTGATTTTTACTGCCACAACGGCAGCAGGAATCAACCTCCTCTCGTCTGGTGAATCGTTTTACGGTTTTATTATCGATTTTGTTGATGCTGGTAGATGTTGCAGGTTTGTTATGTCTGTCGTGGAACTCGCTCAATTGACGGTCTACCGTTTCTAACGTATTTGCCTCTGCTATTATTTTCGCTACGGTTGCGTTGTCACCAAGTACCAAAATGTTCTTTCTCAATTTAGTAGATCTACACTTTTCTGTTATTTGATCGATGAGGTTTTCGTCCTCATTAGTAAAATTGCACTTGGAACTCTGTCGTCTAAGACGAATCAAGAACTTTTCAAACTTTTCATCGGGTTCTTGTTTCATTAACCGAAATAAATGTCTTTCAAATAAATAGCTTTGTTTTGGGGAAAAATACTCATCTAATTTTTTAACTGCCGTGTCATAAACGTCAGTCGCAGTTACATGTGCACCGGGAATATTAAAATATATGTCTTGTAATATCATGCCACCGGAATGTAGTAATATAGCACGTTTTGTATTTTGGTCGTTGGTGTTAGTCGCTATAAAATATATTTCTAGAGCTCGTTTCCATCTCTCCCAACGAGAACCTAAAGATGTTGGATCGCCTTCACAATCGAATGGTTCTATTGTTGGTATTTGTAATTGGGACATATCGGATGATCTGCAATAGCGAAGAGGACGCTTTAATAATTATTTCTAGGTCTAATTTAAGTGATTGTACCAAATAAATATTGGTATTTATAACTTTAACTGAGCTCCAATTTCATAATATGATATATCTCGATAACACATAATATAATAAATACTATCAAAGACTGATTATAATTAATGACCATAAAATTTATATTTATTTAAATTAATAGTCGTTATCAATGACTGCTGAAGAGCGATCGGAATATCATATAAAATTAAATCCATTAACCGCTTTAAGGCCCTTTAAAATTAGAGTATTATAAAATGTTTTATCAAATTTTTGTATTTATTTTAAATTTATATTTATTTTGTATTGAATATGCTATTTAAGCATAAGTATAAGTTAAATAAATAAGATGTAGGTATATCGTAAAATAAGAAATTTGAAATTTGTAGAATGTTAAACCAGGAATATACCTTGTTACCACTATGTGGGTATTGATTTATTATAAATCTTTGTTTCATATACCGACAGACAATGTTAGGCACATTAGCATCACTTATAATATTTTCATTTTAGTATTAACGCTTTAAAAACGTTGGTACACACATAACTGACGAATAAATTGGAGATGATTTATTCCAATAAAGTCTTTTGTTTGCATTTATTTGCAACCAGCTTCGGTCAACAATTCACACTCAAACCCATAGTATATACAAACCCATTGTAAATATTTAGATCGAGATATAGTTACGATCTAAATTATAAACACTCGTAATACTGTCAACAGCAAGTTATGCTACCTACATACTACGTCGATTACGGTTCAAGTAACATATTGCATTATATTACAAGATATTTTATGCTATTATACTCCTAGAAAATGCACATTTTACAGATGTTTCACAGGTAGTGATTTACAAAACGGCTCTGTTTTCCCTTCTATCTTTTTTTTTTTTTTTTTTGTTGACCGAATCTGAAGCAGGTACATATGAACATTTATTTTACTTACTGCGCTTTTACTCGTCGCCAATGTGATATCCACTTTTTATGTAGGGGTACTTATAATAAAACACCACACAATTATGTACATAGGCACCCAACTCCACAGCACGCCCGCCCGCTCCGAGTGTCAGATCGGAAGTGAACGAATGGCGTTGCCGTTGGCTTGCGTCCTATATTTTATTATATAATGGTATACGTCACAGCGAGCTTAGATTTTTTTCACATTTCAAAGAGAATTTTACAAATGTCTCCATGACACAGGGTGAAAAATCAGAACTTTGAAGACTTGGTTGCTTGCGATTCAAATACTTCAATCGATATGATGCCTGGCGGAGCACTGTGCACTTAAATAAACACTCTTGCCTTATTAGTGCTTTTTTTTAAATCTGCAGGATCAACGACAAACACTTATGTTCTCGGCTACATTCCCTGAAGATATCCAGCACTTGGCTGGCAGGTTCTTAAACAATTACTTGTTTGTGGCCGTCGGTATAGTTGGCGGTGCCAGTACCGACGTAGAACAAGTTTTTCATCAAGTCACCAAGTATGAGAAGCAATCCACACTTAAAAAGTTAATTGAAGAGAATGGTGAGCTTGTTATTTTTCAACTCCTGTATAGTTTCTCATTTAATGAGCAGAGATCGAAATAGGTGCATAATGATGCATAATACCTGAAGTTAACCAAGTGTTTCTGGATTTATTTGAAATATTTGTCCAGCCCAGCACTATAGCATAAGGCTTTTACTGGCTTGTCTTGTCTTTAAGACTTTCTTACCCACACCATATTGTGGAGATATAGATTTCACTCCTAATATAAAGTCAAGCACGATTATATGATTTTTTACACTTAGTTTTGTTTGAATTACATGTGAAGATGGTAAGCGTATCCTGGTATTTGTTGAGACAAAACGCAATGCGGACTTCATAGCAGCTATGCTTTCGGAACAGCAAATGTTGACTTCATCTATCCATGGCGATCGTCAACAGCGCGAACGAGAGGAAGCGCTCGACAACTTCAAAAGTGGACGCCATTGCATACTCGTCGCAACAGCGGTAGCGGCTCGAGGCCTCGGTAACATTTTTATTGTGTATACATAATTTGTGACGCTTAACTCAAACTCGGATAAATCCAATTCTAAGATTTTTTTTATCAAAAGCTTTGATACAATTTTGTCTGTTATCTATCAATCTGCCAGGTTTTTGAAAAAAAAAGTCAATATATATTTTCAAAATGAGGTAGATCCATGAGCCATTTTTTTAGTTGTAGTCCATTAGAGGTAATCATCGAATTACTTTTGTTCAACTTGGCCATCAGTTGATGTAAACTCTGAACACTAAATCTACATGTATTTAGTACAATTGATAAAAAAAATCACAATATGAACTACATCTTGGGTTGAGTAATCTGAGCAGCTTGTGTGATACATGCATAATATGTGCGTGCGTATTTGTGTATGTCTGTGACTGAGTGTGTGCTCGCATTTCACTGTGAGCGTTTTTATTTAATTAAAAATAATCCAGTTCCTTCATAACTTTAGCTTAGTAAAATATGTGAATGTTTGTGTGTATTGAAAATCCAAAGTACAGGTTTAAAAATTATGCTAATTACAATATGATTGTTGGATTTATATTGCATTCTTCTTTTAAAAAACTTCATTATAGAAAAAAAAATACAATAAATTTTCCTGATATTTTCAGATATCAAGAACGTTGACATAGTAGTCAATTATGATCTCCCAAAGAGTATAGATGAGTATGTGCACAGGATTGGCAGGACCGGTCGTGTGGGCAACAGAGGAAAAGCTGTTTCTTTCTTTGATTCAGATCAGGTGAATTTAGTCAGATCTAATTAAAAGCCTGGGTTATGAGTATAGTTGTAAAAAAGCCCTTAGCTACAGTTACTTAACCAAAGTTTCTGTTAACTACCCATAAAATGCAGTTAATAACGGTACTGTATTTGTAGATTTTTAAGTCATTTAATGCAAACGTAAAAATATGTACATAATCCAACTAATGCTATTAAAATCTACTAATGCATATTTTTATTGTTATAAACATATAACATCAAAATATATTCAAATATAAGTGAACCACTCACTTATTTGAATAATAAAAATTTTAGCAATTGTAAGATTTTAGGTGATTATGATTTTAGGATTTAAGACTTTATTTGTTTTTAAAATAAAAAAAATCTTAAAAGCAGTAACTATACATATAATTTATTTTAACCATTGAATCGTAAACAACAACATTTATAAGTGAACTAGACCAAAATGTGATGTTGTCCACTATCAAAAAAAGAAAAGAATTTTGTGTGATGCCTAGTCACTACATGGCACACCAACTGGATCCACAATAGGAGTTTCTCTAAGTGATGAAAGGATAGTATGGTTGCAGAATATTCACGAAAAGTGTCTATAACGTCAGGCATTGAAGTTGCTAAAGTACTTAAAGATATGGCAGAATTTAAGTTGAAAGGAATTTTTTTTTAAAGAAACCAAAGCGATTTGGGCTCCAGTCAAAGAGTTAGAACCCAGAATACCATATTCTGGGTTCTAACTCTTTGAAAACTTTCGCATCCAACCTAGAGATTTGCTAAAATAGCAGTAAAAATTCTAAGTGTATTATTATCTGCTGTTTCGGAATGCAATTGGAGCCTTTTTTCTAGAACGCATACCAAAGTCATAATTCAAGAACTGTGAAATTGATGTACCGTGTGTTGAATTGATTTGGTCCAATTTAAGCTTGTTTGCAACGAGAAGGCACAGTCAACGTCACAGTTACTGACTCATCGGATGAAGATAGCTATATCAGTGATAGAGAATGCGAGATAACCGAAGGCGATTGCTTAGTAGTATTATTGCCATTTATTTATTTCAAGTCTGTATTATCTCAGGAGTCTTTTAATCACAATCATAATGTTTTTAATACTTCCTTTTAAAAACGTACATTTTTTTGTATCAAATTCACTAACAAGCATAAAATGCCATTGATTAACCGTTAATAACAAAAAATGAATTTTTAACCGGCTTTGCATCTATAGTTATGAGTAAAATTAATTTGGAAAATGTGATTACTGTAATACATGTACTAAAACCTTCTAAATCTGAGCTTCTAATTGTAAAGCTTGTGTCTGAATTAATTGTGTCGCCTAATTAGTATCTAATAACTAACCGATACTTAGCCACATGTTTAGTAGGTTGGTTGGCTGTGAAATAACAGACTGTTTGGACAGCCTACGTGCAATTAAAAGCACCCAAAATTATCTTCAAAGTTGACATTTAACATTCCTTTTTTATTTCTCTAAGGCAATAATGCAAAATTTAACGGTAGGAATATACACCTTATTCGCCGTTAATAGTACCCTAGGCAGCGTGCGGTTTTTAGCTGGTTCGAGTCTGACATACCGACCCTACTGTTAGTGGTATATGAGAGGATTTCTTCACAAAAAAGTCCAAAATTAAACAGTCCCAATACATTTACCCCTTGAATGCTACTTCCTCAATTTCATTGCTTAATTACACCAGTCCTTCACTTCTTGGTTACACCACTGACTTGTACTTATTTTGTAGGATATTGCAATTGCGGCGGATTTAGCTAAAATTTTAAAACAGGCTGACCAAACTGTGCCCAACTTCTTGGAAGGCGGCGGTACCGCCACATATAAGGGCAACAAATATGGTGGCAGCGATATTCGAGTAAGTTATTTCCATTGTTTTTAAAGAATTATTGAATAAACATTAGAGGTAATTACATTATTTTGTTTTGTGCATGCAAATACAGGGAGATTTATCAGTAAGTACCAATAATAAGTAGCAAGTTTTAGTGACAAATCACATAAAAAATCTATTTCATTATATAATAATAAGTATATTTTCAATTAATTAATATTGCTAAAATGATAAGTGTTGCCTCCTCCCTAACACTCGAAAATGGATTATAATTTTATTCAAAAATATTTTTTATTAATAAAAATTGTTAAGTCTTTAGAATAAGTTTAAAAAAATAAGTTTAACATATTGATAGGTATTTTAGTTATTATAGTTCATGATATAAAAGTTTTTCTTTTACTATTTTCTAGGATTTCAATAATGCAACTTCGAATGTTGAACAAGGTGCAGAGCCAGATGAAGAATGGTAGATTTAAGGGACTTCTTGATATTACATTTACCAGTTGCGACTGTTGACAGTGAAAAGTTGATTTATTTTCTGTGGTGTAACTGGTAGTGCATATGTGGTGCTTTAGCAACTCTACAAATAGGATGAGTGAACCGTATTTGATCATATTGTTAGAAATAATTTCTTTTAAATATCAATTATCCCGTTAAGACTGTACCAATTGACATGTATTAAAATTACCATATACATAAAAAGTTGATTTATAACTCCCATCTATGCATAAGTACCATTGTTGTTAACAAATGTATACATTTTGTTGTACTTATTTCATTATTTTTTTTCGTTATATTCTTTACTGTACAAGTTTGTTTTCGTTTTAGATTTTTAATTGTTTTTTATTGTGTGCTCTATCATACTCACATTTGTAAAAGTGGACAATTAGAACCCCTTAATTGGGCAATCTGTGATGTTTAAATAGTATGTTGCTCACTTTAACATAGTTACAATTACAATATGTAGATATGTTTCGTAAAAAAACATCTTCAGAAAACTAAAGATATTCTGACACTAAAAGACAAAGATAAAACTTTTGAATGTCTAAAAGTTATTGTTTTACACACTAAGTGTTTGCGAGTTATAAGCGTAAGAAGCCTTGTTGTCTGTTTGTAGTTTGTACAAAGGTCAAGGGTAAGTAAGAGTAACAAATTTATAATCTGTGATGATTATTATTATAAGTAGTATAGGTTTGCACTTATCATACACTTAAAATGCCATAAAACTCAGTTCAAAAACAACAATTTGATTATCTGACACATTTTAAAACCTTGTAAGTCTCCCCTCTTCCACTTTTATCACGTACTATGTACAAGGGAGTACTCATTATGTTATAAGATGTCGATAATAAAAAAATATTAAAAAATCTTCGTTATTTACTTCTATACCTTAATGCCTATATATAGCGTCAGCCTGTAGAAGTTGGTTCCCAGCCTTACAACGTCGATGAGCACGACGATGCAACTGCCAGTAGGAGAGGATGCCTTGCTGCCTACTGTCAATAAAACATTGACATGCGTCTTACCACTACAATCATAGCGTGCCATAAAAGACCGGCAGCTAGCGATAAAAGTTCAGCACCTATTTTCTCACTCGTGCATCTCAGAGTATTGAGAGTATTATCAGAGATAAAGGAAGATACCCATACTACGTGACCTGTTGTGAGGGGGCAGGGGGTTTTCAACATATCACGCTTGGTCACAGGGGCGGGAGGAGGCCTTAGGTTTTTGTCACGTAGTCAATATCCTCTAGGGAAATCTCGTGCTTTTTCAAGCTATATTCAAATATGCCTAGCGCTTTTTAAACGTGTCACTGATCATGGCCGGGCCACCGTCATGGATTTTAATTTTGATAAAACAAAAATTTTGTCGCCAAATATCAGAATTTGTCAGTCACTGGTTCAAAAGTGGTAAGCGTTTATAGGCGGCCCTGCTGGGGTCAGTCTCAACAGCAGAGCCACGCTTGTATATAAAAAAATAGCGAAGATCCGTTTCCTCCGAAGTTAGTGGCTAATTAGTCGAAATTTGTGAAGTCAAATATCAGGTCAGTGACGCTTTTTAAACTCGCATGTGGCTCATATTTGGTTCGTATTTTGCGTAAACAAGCTCCGCGCGTTGTTTAATTACGGCAATAAAAATAGTGTTTTGGACAGGTCCGTGCACTCGCACGTTGATGCCGAACCGTTGACTTATGGATATCGAGGTAAAAGATGCGGAAAAAGTTCGAATTTTATTGTTTGAAATTAACAGATATTTAGTGTATGACGTCGTGTAATTGTTTATAAGTAAAAAGAACAATGGCAGAAACATATTTACCTAAAACTGAAGCGTAAAAATTATTGACTAACAATAAACTTACTAAATATTTTTTCAATGATTTATCATTATACCGCCATGTGTTGTATAAGTCTAATAAGAGATTGGATATTTTTAAAGATTTTATTTGACCTAAGTACGTAATGTCAGAATCGCCATCACGAACTGACTAGGGATGCGTGATGACATTATTATATTATGAAACGTTTTATCGATAATCGATTGTTATAACTTTGGCTTAAATATCTATCGAAGGTTCACATATTATGATTATGAATTTGCTTCTGCCCAAGGGTTTACTCATACGCTACCGTAAATAGTACTGTAGTGACTAAATCAACCTAATTAGAAATAATTTAGAATATTTTTGACTCTTTTTAAAAGATTTTTGCTACACCAAAATAAATAGAATATAGTTACGTTATTTTCCTACAGAAAAATACTAAAACAATATACTGCTTAGTGTGATGAGAAAAAAACATTGTAGGTTGATAACGGCATATAAATAGACATGCATCGATATTTTTAAAATGTCGATACGTCGTCGTCGCACTTACTATAACCCGGCAATCTCGTTCGCGACCGTCCCGCGGGGTGACAGACAGTGGCGGGGGCGAGGTAGCGCGTCATTCTAGCACACGGCTACACACGATTCCCTTCCCCGCTACCCGCTGACATCGCGAGTACCTCGTCCCCGCCACCGTCTGTCACCCCGCAGGACGGTCGCGCACGATGTTGACGGACTATAGTCTTGTCGTTTGACACTTACACGCATGACTTACATACCATTTCTCACAAGGCAATTGTAGTTTATTTGATTGTTTTACTTTTGTTTAGTATTAAACTCTCATAAATGTTTATTTAAATTTTATATAGTGTTACTCCATTATGCATGATGTGATGCCTTAAAATGTTGTGCATTAATCTCAACAAAATGGATGCATGCTTTAGATTTTAGTAAATAATGTCACAACTACTGACTGTTGAATAACTAAATAATTAAATAAACGCTCCCGCCTTGTGTAAATGTGTATTGAAGTACATTTATTCAAATTATTATTAATAATTTATGTATTTATGGCTAGTATTACACCTGCTATGTAAGCGAAGATTTTTTCTATTGTTTACCAATACATGCCAAGCAAATACCCTTCCTTCCTTCACCCATTTAGAGAGTCGGCTAACACTTTCCACAGCAAAATAGGGTTGCTTATAAGTAATAATAATGATGAATAATATTTTCGAATATATGACACACAACGCCATCTAGTTTCAAACAAAACATTTACAATATTTTAGTACTTAACCTCGAAACATTCAAAATCCAATATCTTTTTTCCTAAACTTCTTTCGCTAGTAATTTTTTTATGAGAATGTTCAAGAATAAATTCTCAAGGGTTATAGGCATTTTTGATATTTAAACGCTGTCATTTCACTTCAAATAAAATTATGTATGGGGACCTGCCATTGTCCTTTGTGCATCCAACCATTGCGGAGTTATTCGCGAAATACTGTTTCGAAAAATATAAAGATAAGCAGCATAAGATGCTGGCCTAGGTTGCTTTTGATACTTAATCCCGTTCTGGTTAGTATTGATCATCAAATCATAATGTCTGGTTAGATCAGTTTTGTACGATGAACAGTTACCTAAACGCACGACCAGTATCAGATTTGCCCTAAGGCTCAGTAGGCCCGGGCCTAGGGCGGCTAATCGTGATATAAAATCACTAATGATGACTAGAAATAGCTCAAAGTAGTAGGTATCTACCTAAATATTCTAAAATTTAGTGCACAGTATAAAGCGAACAAATTGTTTTGGTTTGTCTTGGGTGACTATAACTCCTAAAATAACAGCTAACTTAGCCTTTACAGTATTTTTTTTTGGTGTTATTTTTCCAGATTTTTTAAGGCAATAGTTTAGCTTTTAGGGGGGAGGGAGGGGGGGGGGCACTTTATTAATCAAATCTTTGCAAAAGATCACTCGAAAAATATTCTTCACAACCTTTCGATACTTTAGAAAGAGCTATCCAATAATTGAAATAACGGAGCAATGAAAAAAAAAACATTCCCACTTTACATAATAGGTATACGGAATCTACTTTATATATATTGATTCAATTACCTAATATAATTATTTTGCAACATGATAAACATAGGTATATGATGAAGCTAGGTAGATACGATAAGATAAATATAGGTACCTATAGCATGATGCAGCGTAAAACGAATTGAATAGTATCTACTCATGAGTCATGAAAGTCTGAATCATCGCTTTTTTATAAATATAAAATACTCGCCGTTCTCTAGGTGCTGGTTTTATCCGCGTTTAGACATTGATCCACTCAAAATGTTGCTACACAGCCTACAATTCTCGAATTCGAAGATAATATTTGCCCTTACATAATTCAATAAATAATTTCTTTTAGATAGGTATATAGGTATAGGTATTTCTTTTTTGACGACTGAATAGCGTAGCGGTTTGTGTAACGGACTGCTATTCCAAAGGTCGCGGGTTCGATTCCCGCTCAAGTCAAACATTTGTGTGCATGAACATTTGATGTTTGATTTGGTCTGGGTGTTTCTATGTATAATATGTATGTATTTAGAAAAAAAAAGTATATATGTATTTATATCAGTTGTCTAGTACCCATAGTACAAACTCTGCTTAGTTTGGGACTAGATGGCGTTGTGTGAATGTGGTACAATATACTCGTATTATATTATACGTAGGTAGGTAAAACCGCGGGGAACATACTTTCGTCTACACACTAAATAATTTAGGTTTCGACGTAAGACTACTCAGACTACAAAAAACTGATCCATAATGTCCTTACTGTGATTGCAAAATAACCAACTTGACAATTATACCACTTTTCTAGTGGAAATTTCGATTTTTTTATATCACGTCGATTACAAATTTAGATTTAGTTCTAGGGTCCATGATAACAGCAGTAGAACATGCACGATGAGGTAAATTCTCTTCTTAGGCATTTTTTCCTAAGCCTAAGAAGTCAAACGTCTAAGCTGATATAGCGAGCCTGAGCTGATATAGGTGAGGTATATCATTTTACTCTATTAAGCACATCAAGGGTTTTGTATGTTTCGTTTTGCCTTTAAAGGATTTTAAAACTGGACGTCCCTGAAAATGTCTCCACCAAGGACCCTAAAACGAATTATGTTAATTATGGCCTCATCTGACTTTATATCAGACCCGCGCGCTTTATAACTTACTTCACTTTGTTAAATATGGAATTTTGAATCGAATTGTGATGAACGGTTCATTCTTAAACAAACTCTTTAGCTTCCTCGTTCCATCATATCTAATTACTATAAACTTAGTATACTAGCAGGTATCTGTAAGTACTAAACTTATGATAATCAGCAGTTCCCAACGTTCCCAGCATTTAATACTTACTACCAGTTTATTTGCGAAATAAAATGCCATGTTATTTAAATTCAAAATATCTATATTTGTATAAAGATTTGTTCATTCCTTCGTTACCTAAAATAGTAAACAGTGACTACCTTGTAAATAGAAGTCACGGTACTGGTAAAATTTCAGGATCGAGGAATTCAAAATAATTGTAAAAAATCCACACAATCTGTAGATCTACTCTACAGGCTCTAACCTCCTCTCCTACTAACTCCTTACTCTACAAACAATCTAGCAAACCAGGAGGCCAATTCTCGCAATTTAAATATATCACAAAACGAAAAGTGAATGAATTGAGTTTATGAATTAACTGACAATAGGTATTCTGCTTATAAACACCGCTTTCCCGCAGTCTACTATTGATCAAAATCCAATCTGATAGAAATGTCAAACTTGAGCTTGACGTATTTTTATAAACAGAGATGAGAATACGAATTACGTTTCATTCGCATCAAAGTATCACTTATTATGACATTTGTGAGATCGAGTGTAAATCGGAACTAAATTTTGATCGAATGATTATTACGAGAATTGACCTTCTGAGCTGAATAATATTTATGTCTTGTAGCATCTCAACATTAAGTCTTATGTTGACAAATGTTCAGTTCTCAAGTAGTGAACAAATGTTTTCATATCTACAATTCTTACAAAATTGAAATGATAGCTATACGCCAATTTATAAAAATGAATTATAGAACTAGATTTAACGTCACCTTAAACGTTTAAGTACTTTGTAAACAAATACAGACTATCAAAACGACTACCGTTGTCATCTTATTACCTACCCTTAATGTTAAATTTTACATTGAATCAAAATCGTCCTCAAATAAAAAACTATTTTGAATTAAAATTGTATAGTTATCATTATCACAATGAAATATTGTAATAGGTTCACGAAGTATAACGAGTTAACTTCTACTTCACCAAAAAATAAAAATATACAATTATTATTATTTGCCGACTAACAATAGGCAAATAATAATTATTGTATATTTTTACAAGGCTCTGAACGTAGGCCAAACCTTGTCGATTATTAATAATTGAAAGAATTTCAGAGATTGAATTTGAATTTTGGCGGTTTAATCACTAGTCTTGTCGTGTCGACATCTTTAGGTAATTAATCACCCCTTATTCCGATCACTGCTTATCACCTACTCATTTTTAAGTATCACATTTTGTTCATTGTCTTAAATCTATGTACTTTAAACAGTCCTAATCTACATCAAGATATGACATGTTACGATATTTTTAAGACATCAAAGTTCATTTTAAAATTACTTGTTACTAAGATCGGAGCGAACTCTCAAGAAGTTGATATTGTGAAGTTGTGTTCCATCTGAAGTATTGCACAAATCTGAAAAAAATAATGTTACACTTAATAAATATTCTGTGCAGTAGTACAAATTTTAATAAAATAAAAGAGCCAGGTACGATTAGGGCTGGTAAATGCTTTATCGTAGCTCCAGAGAATGTTTCATAACATTCGTATGTCTGTTTGCTATATCTATTTCAAATTAAATTAATAACGTTAAATTAATAAGTAATCTTATGCAAATGGCTTGATTATAATAAGAACTACAAAAAATACATATAAATATATTTAGCATGGAATTTTTTAAAATTTAATTTAAATTCGAGTACATAACAATAGAAGCAGAATTCAGTGTCAGTAATTAAAATATTATGTTGTAATATTTGGCAGCAATAGTTTACCCGGGTATCACGTGTAAAACAATCGTTACTCTTCTTAATAAATACTACTCCCTTACATAGGATCTCAGACCAAAAAACAATAAGTAGCTTATATTCGAAGCAATATACCCATGATTTGTGTTCAACCCATATATAAATATTATAACCTATAAATAATACAGTCAAGAAGTCAAGATTCCACATAAATTCATGCCTCGATAGTTTAAGATACGTTAAATATATTGTACACATGGTACTACTTGCAATAAGCTGCCTACATTCCTGATAACTTTTAGATCTCTAAATATAAAAAAACGTGTTTATTTTTTTAATGCTAATTCCTACGAATAAACAAAGCCATATTGTGATGTGATTTTAAATAATAAAGGGTATCTCAGTAAGAGAGCACATTTTAAATATTATTTTTTTTGTCACCTATGTTTATTCCGATTATTAAAAATGGAGCGCTTTCTGAAAGAACAACGCGTTATAATTGTGAAAACTCATTACAAAAATGGGAAAATTTACGCTGAAACCGCTCGCAAACTTCGCCAAATTTTCGGTCGAGAAAGTGCGCCTAATGTATCAACCAATCGAAGAGTGGTCAAAAGATTTGAAGAAACTGGGTCGATTATATATATTAAGAATTCTTTGCGTCAACGTACCGGTCAGTCTCTTGAAAACATTGTAAACGAGTGTCGCCGAAAACCCGAAAATATCAATTCGGCTTCGTTCTCAACAACTTCAAATTTCACGAAGCACTACGCAGCGAATTTTGACAAAAGACCTCCACCTCTATGCGTACAAGATTCAGCTAACTCAGGAGCTCAAACCAGCAGACCTTGGAAAGCGCCGGCAATTCGTTCAATGGGTAATGGAGCAAAGTGAAGTCGATGCCAATTTTTCGAAAAAGTCATCTTCTTCAATGAAGCGCATTTCCATGTGAATGGCTGCGTGAATCCACAAAATTATCGAATTTGGGGCTCAGAAAAACCTCATGCAATCCATGAGAAACAAATGCACCCACAATAAGCAACTGTCTGATGCGGATTTTGGTCAAGCGGCGTGATTGGGCCATACTTTTTTGAAGATGAGGCCGAAATTGCAGTGACTGTGAACGGCATTCGTTACAGGAATATGATAACGGGAGTTCTTGTGGCCTCAACTGGACGGCACGGATCAGGACAACATGTAGTTTCAGCAGGATGGCGCACCTACCACACCGCGCATGGAACAATCTACTTATTGCAGCAACGATTTCCAGAACACACTATCTCACGAAATTCTGATGTCAACTGGCCACCAAGATCGTGCGATTTAACGCCGTGCGATTATTTTTTTTGGGGTTTTGTGAAATCTCGGGTTTTTGCGAATAAACCAGAAAGAATTCCTGAACTCAAATCAGAGATCCAACACGTCATCGTTGAGATACAGCAGATCTCTGTGTAAAAATCATTGAAAATTCATGAAAAGAGTAAAGGCCTGTTATCAGAGCTGTGGGGGCCATTTTATTCCATACCTAATCGGAACATATCTTCTTTACAATCCAATAAAAATATCACAACTCGTTTATAAAATACGTCTTTTTATTTTAAAATGAAAAAGTGCACTCTTACTGAGACACCTTTACCTACCTATGTTCAGGTATATAATATCTTGCAAGACTAATCTACAGGGTGATAAAATAACATTAGGACTGGGACGTTACGGTTAAAAATAAACACAAAAGTAATAAAACTAACTTGGTTCAATAACAATTACATCTTAAAATATCAAAAAGGAACTTTTGGTGAAGGATATTGAAACCGGAATACTTATTTATATGCGTTGATTCTTCGTAAACAAAAAGCTCGTTTCGATTTCATACAGGTAGGTAGGTGTTTTTGAATGTATGAACAAAAAATGTAGTAAAATAATACAGATTGTAGCAGAAAGTTGTTTATACTTTATTTTGGTTATTGACACCACGTATTCAAATCACAGTCCCAGATTTTGTTGTTTAATGGGATCAGATACAGGCCGTGAGGAAATAGCAGCGCTTGTAATAGCGTTTATCCTATAAAGCGTGCATTAAGGATCATAGTAAAATTCCACAATATCTATCTAGCAGAGAGCAATTAATTAATTTAAATACAATGACCTTGTCTGTATACACGTCAAACGAAATGTTTGGTCAGGTTTACTTGTGTGGTTTACATGTACTTAAACCTATTATATAACTAGATGTGTGTTAATTGCAAATAACTCCTTTCTTGGCACAGTAACTACATTAACATATCTGGCTCGGAATACACGGAGTTCAAAGTTCTATTTATTGACTATTCCATGTACCTACTTATAAAGTTTGATAAAATAAACTACTGCTATTTCGGCCATACTTTCAAAATATTATGTTTGCAATATTTAATACCTTATGTTCAATAATTCTAATTAGTTATATCGCCGAAATAGCGCACTGTTGATTGAATGGCATTTGTATTAAGTATTGTTTAAGTTGTGGTAACAACTAACAAGTGGATTTTTTTAAATGCTAAAATGTGGTCATGGTGTGGAGCCCCGACCTTCGGAAATCATTGTGACAGAGTTAAACGAATAAAAACTACAGTATTTTGCAACGTATAGGCACTCGGAAACGTACAATCTTTTGTTCATTTAACTAAGTCATAATGACTGAATAATAATTAACTTTAAAAAAATATCCCCAACTACAATGGTGCCTTCATTCTACGAAATGAAGTGAAATAAACTGTATTCTTCATTCCTTATTCCTTCCTGTTCAACCTTAGCAATTTTCTGTCAAATTTCATCATTATCAACGGCCTTTACTAGTCCGCTGCTGGACATAGGCCTCTCCTTAGAAAGGAGGCAGCCCCGGGTTTAGGGAGTGCCAAACCGGGACACACGCCCCGGCCGGCAGTTTCAGGGGCGCCAAAATCATAATATAATACAGTTTAAAAAAAAAGAAAAATATATTGTTACCTCCCAATCACGAAAAATGCCAACCATTCCATTATATTTGTGAGCTTTTAAAGTTATTTACCTCAAACGCTGGAGAGAGCGGACGCTATTATTAAGCTTCTACCCCGGTTCGAAAAATTTTCATAAAGGTTTCACGAACATTTGTAAAATCACCCGCGACACAGGAATAACCATATATCTAGTGGTTGTCTTTTTAAAAAAGAAAAAAAGCAAATAAAAAGGAATTTTGCAAATCAGTTCATGAAACACAACCGAATTGTTTTTTGGGAGTTAAAAATTCGCTTAGCTTTTATTACTGTCATCTTAGTTTCGTGTTGATTTATTGTAGGTATTATAATTAAAAAACATTTTTTGGCTTATTTCTAGGAATTTTATGGTATAAAACAAAAATAAGTATCTCAAAAGAAAAAAAAATTACTTACGATAAGCACACGACGCAGATTGCAATGACTCCACTACTCAGCAAATAAATGGCCCCCGGGAATGTAGATATTGTGAATCTATACAGCGAGTTATACAATATGGGAGCTACTATTGGACATAAGCCTTCTATTGCTGACATAAGTGTAAATACTTTAGCTACATCCACCACTGGTAATATTTTTGACAAGAATGACCTAATGAGAGGTCCTGAAAGGCCTCTGAATAGAGATACGCCAGCTCCTGAAAAGAAAGCAATAATTAATATACCATAAACATAGGAAATTCAACTTGAGATGATTATTTCTTCAATTGTTTACACCAGCGATTCCCGAACTATTTACGGTAAGAGACCTCTTTTCTAAATTTAACTGATACCTCAGACCCTCATAGCCAAATTATTGAACGCTTTTTGACTTGTTGAGTTTTTTAGGGTTTCGTACCTCAAGGTAAAAAGGAACCCTTATAAGATCACTTTCTTGTCCGTTCGTCTGTCCGTGTAACCAACGATTCTCTCAGGAACAGGTGGACCTAGCAAGTATAAATTTATACCAGATACTGAGGTCGATAGTCCCTATTAAGTGTATAAAAACCAACGAGGTCAACCGGAAGTACCCTATAGGTTTTGGATCGAAAACCTATATGGTAGTTCTCGTTGACCTAGAATCACGAAATTTGGCAGAAAGCAAGGTCTTACAGCACAAATAAAGGAAAAATTCAAAAAAATAAAAAAGTCGAAAATTAAGATACATTTTGGTACTTAAAGTTTTCGCGAATATCTAAGTAAAATCTGGGTGGCACGGAACCCTCAGCGCATGAGTTCGACTCGCACTTGTCCGGTTTTTTTTTTAAAGTACAGCTATGATACTTTCTACTAAAATTTGTCATTCTTATAATAAATCAGTATACGTAATACAACTAATACAGTATTTTCAAAGTTCCAAATAAGAACTTGTGTTAGTTAATAGGGGTCGATTTTTAGACCACTTTGGTAGTCCCTGTTTTACACTAATCCCAAAGCCTTGCAAATTTTACGTTGTAGCAGACTAAAAAACAAAGTATAAACTTATAATGAAAATGATCTAAATGTAGGCACGATATTTTATCCACGTGAAAATCGAACACACGAACTGTTTGGATCATCAGCCACGTCTACTAACCAATATCTAGGCCGACATGCTTGTAATGAATATTGTTAACGAACGAACGAATTTACGTTATGTGTGTGTGTGTGTGTGTGTTGTTGTAGTAATATGGTGTATGTTATTTTTATGTATAAAATTTATAATGCAGTTTGTCGCACTGTGTCGATTCAAGGTTATCATGTCCTTTTGTCATGTTCTTTTTCGGATGTTTAATTTTTATTACCTTATACCGAGCGATATTATCTTTATAACGCAGGCTTTTTACAACACGATTCGATTTAGTGTGCCTATTTTAAAACTGTTTAATGTTTATAGAGTTTGGGCTAAATTTACTTGTAAATATACGTACTAATTACTTTAAATATCATCATCATTAACTGCCTTTAATAGTCCACTGCCAAACATAGGCATCTCCTTAGAAACGAGGTTTTGGCCTACTATACCATGCTGGCATGACGGGTTGGTATAGCGTATGTGTCAAGTTTTCCTTCTCTTTGTACTGTAATCCTACATAGTTTGCTTGCTCCCTTAGTCGGCTCTTACGACACCCACGGGATGAATAGGGATGATGACACTCTGTATTCTTAAACCGTCACCACACGGACAGTAAATATAATGCAATATAAATTATTTTGTTTTACACTTTTAAATAGCCTACCGCTGTCAGACGTGGCCCTTAACTAAAGAAAACATCAGTAGGCTTGAAACATGTCAGCACAGCATAGAAAGAAGCATGTTGAACGTAAAGAGAAAAGATAAGATAAACCTAAAAGTTAGGCCATCTAATTAGAACATCATCATCATCATCAGCCTATCGTAGTCCTCTGCTGGACATAGGCCTCTCCCATTGCACGCCACTTAGATCGCTTTTGGGCTTCTCGCATCCAGCTCCTGCCAGCCATCCGGGCAAATCTTCACTCCACCTGGCCTGTTGGCGTCCTACACTACGTTTGTCGAAACGCGGTCTCCACTCAAGAATTCGTTTTCTCCAACAGTTGTCGGTTCTGCGGCTAATATGGCCAGCCCACTGCCACTTCAGCTTCCTGATCCGGTAGGCTATGTCGGTGACATTGGTTCTCTGCCGGATCACCTCATTCCTGATGCGATCCCTTAGAGAAACGCCGAGCATAGCCCTTTCCATAGCACGCTGAGCGACTTTGAACTTGTGGACCAGCCGTAACGTAAGTGTCCACTTTTCGGCTCCGTATGTCATCGCAGTGCGTCCTCCCCGTCAGGTAGGACGATTTCCTCAAAAAAAAATCTTATTGAAGTGATGACTCAAAACTTTATCAAGAAACTGACTCATATAATGTATATCAACTAAGGCAGGTGTACGAGCTATCTACCGGCCAATCGCATGTGCTATAACGAGGCATAACATTCTGTTCAATTTTTATCTATTATACAAAGCAAAATAAATATTACAGCTTGATTAAAATAAAATTAGTACCTATGTATATTATTGTAAAACAGAAACATCCTTAAGCAAAGTTCTAAATTCTACAAAAATGCACATTTAATTCAACAAACATCATGAACAACGGAGGAACTGCTGACGAGGTCGAAGTGACCCCAATCCTATAACTCATATGAGTTAGATTTATGTCTAAGTACCGTTTATGCATGATAAATATTGAAGAAAAAAGAATATAATAATGTTTATTAGTTAGTCTAAAATATTTTATATTAGGTATGTGACGTAGGCCGGCCGGCAGATGTTTATTATCATCGAGGTCGTTACAGAACTTATCTCTAACCACAAAATATATTTGCATTATTCAACTTATTATGCTATTATTATAAACATAGATGTTTATATATTTATTTATGTTGTAATGCTTACATATTCTCAATGACAACAATTGAAATAAGACATATAGCTAACTAACTATTTACAAATACATACCTAAGTACATGTGCCACGAACTAATAGCAAATGCTCGAATAGTAGAATCTGCTAGAGTTGAAATATAGGCTATATTTGAAGTGAATAAGTCACCAAAGCCAATCAATTTTTGCAGTAGCCCAATGCCTACAAATGCTCCGACGAAGGATATCGTTGTACTAATAGCGTCAAACATTTTGAAATCATACAATGTCCAGTTGAGCTTCTCTCTTGTGTATAAATAATCCAAAGGCAATGTCCCATAGAGTATGAATATCGATAAACTGTTAGCCAGAGTAAGAAGCAATATCTGGGCTCGACCATTGTTCGGTCGTCGTTTGAAACATTCGTGAACCATCTCCTTTACTAATAAACCATCAAAGATAGTTGTAATTCCACCCTGCAACAAAAAACGTCATCTAATGTATACTAAGCAATTATTCTTAATGAAAAAAGTCTGATTGCAAAATAGTGGGCATCTGTTTTCCGTTTGATAATGAAATAATTACTGTGATTCGTCAACCATAAACCGATATGTTGTACAGAAGTTTGTGAGTTATACAGCCTATACATCATTGCATTCAGACTAAAGTACTTTTTGTTTTAAGGTCATCTACCTACTATCCGTTTCTCGAGGAGTAAAACTAGTAGAAAAAATTGTTAGCGATTAAAGAATTTATTACCTATTTTTTTCCCAAAACATTTTTCCTCATTAAAAACTATATTTTATTTATTACTTTTATACTATTATTTTTATATATATTTACTAGTTTTCTGGAATGAAGTTCCTTATCGCGCGTTACACGCTATAAGCGGATGGGAGCTAGACCGAAAAATGTGTAACAAGACTTTTTCCGACACTTTTTGCTATAGTACGCACGTATTTTAATGCAGTTTTTACCAATAGAGAGAGTGATTTAAGATTAACGTTTATATGTATAATAATGAATGTTCTTGTTTGTCTGAAACGGACTATCGAATACTAGGGATCACTCTAGTAAATTCGATGGCGCTATAAAAGCAGAGCGTATTGGCCGTACGACACAGTATCATTTAAGACACAGCGAATTAACATCGAAGTGAATTTCTAGAGCGACCAACGAGTAATATAGTGATTTCTCGTTTCTTATAGTGAGTCTTGGTAAATATAGTGCAATAAAAGTAATTAACCGGCAACTTTTATTTATTATGTAGTAACAATAATTTACTATGGAATTGTATTTCTTAATTAGATCTATGTCTATCTTCTTATCCTCCTTTACGAAGCTATTTTAAAAAATACACTATTATGCCTTATCCAATTAAACACTTTAGATACGTTGTGCATTTAATGTAGATTAAAATTGCTCTTTACAGAATATTATTAAAATGAATATTTTTAGAAGATATTATAGGTTTAAAATGCGGGAGCACAGTGGCAGTCGCCCCGTTCGCCGTCGGGCCGTAGCGGTCCGTCCCGGGTGGCAACGGCGGTGTAACTACTATAGTTAAACCGTCGTAAGCTTGGCCCTCCTGATGGTTTGGGGGACGCGGGGCGGGGATGCATTCAACCAATTAGCTAGTGCGTCGCTGTCCGCCGGCAGTGACTGACGTGAAAGCATGGTTGTACCTGTTATTTTTCTTAAGACTGCTACACACGGTATTATTTTGCAACATGGATAATCTGCCGACTCTGCGTCACAAAAAGATTTAAAAAATTGGAGTTCGGCTTACAGAGGTTCTACTGTTAAAGTTCTAATAAAGAATATTTATTATTTTACTTAATTTTTAAAATTGTATCTGAATATAATTTACATGATGAAGATAAGGTGATTTTATTAAAATTATTTTACAGTATTAAATTTTACAATTAATCATAAAAACTTACAATACACTGACATTATAATTTAGGGAAATAAAATCGATTTTTATTACATCGTGTGTAGATTAAATCTCAAACAAGTAAATCTGAAGATATCGAGTTAGTACATCGTGTCATGTATAGCCGAGCGCATCACCCGCCCCTAGTCCCGCAAACCATCAGGAGGGCCAAGTTCAGGGCGGTTTAACTATAGCGATCCGCACCGGCTTCGCACGAGTACAATGTAGATGCTTCTAGTATTAGAAATATATCCTGTGTCGCGGCGGACTTTACAAACATACATGAAACGGACACAAAGAACACCCAGACTTCAAAAACCAATTTGTGGATCACACAAAGTGTCGTCCCATGTGGGGATCGAACCCACAACACTCAGCGTAGAAGGAAGCGGCATGGCAACCGCTTAAACCACTACGCCATCCGTACAGTCGGTGGTTTTCCGTAGATAGCTACCTCTCGCGACTTGTATGAAGTAGTTCAACCTACGACGTACCTATGATTATTTACACTAAAAATGGAAAAATAAACAATTAAAAAATAATAATTGAACTGATTTAAAAAAAATCATCAACAAAACCCTACCTAAAAACAATAAAAAGCAAAAAAAATACTGGTTTCTAAAATTAAATCAAAACTTTACCTAGTAACTATATTTTACCTATTCTCAATAAAATTCTTAATGAAAATATAATATAGTATACACGGTGTAAGGGACGTCGTAACGAATACTGAAGTAGTGTATTTAGGCCATCATTATGAGTACAAAATCGTTGGAAAATTAAACTTTTTATGCAATCAGCTGTCAAAGGTTAAGGTCATTCCCCGGAGGTATCGCACTAAAGTAATAACTGCATGTGTATTCCGTGCAAACAGTCTACGCACACTAACACAAAATGGCGGCCGGAGTGGATGCCCCCTGCGCTTCGGCTGTTTGATTAATTACATTGCAGTTTTTTGGTATTTATTAAATTGTTTTCAGTAAAATGTTCTGTCTACTCATTGTGATGTAATTTTTCATCAATGTTAACCAGAAAAACGGAAAATTAAAAAAAAAAGATGTATTTTCCGGCAGAAAATTCCAATGATTTTTGACTCAGAATCATGGTCTGAATACACTATTTCAGTATTCGGTACGATGTCCCTTACACCTCGTATAAGATATAATTTCACAAAGCGAAAGGAACTTCGTTCCGACCGTCTATAGACACTTCACGCCTTTTCGACATTATTACTGACTTATGTACTTAATTAAATTACTAGTAGGTATAAAAGTAAGATACCGACCGATTTATCAGATTGTAGAGCTATAACGCTACAATCCAAAAACTACGACAAATAAATACGCACATTTATCGCTAATAATCAAGTGTACTTTAGACAACACTTACTTTGCAACGTTTACAGTGCGACACAAAGGATCATCGCTTATGAGGCAACCCAGCTAGAACGACTCAACTCGTTTTGATACTTGATTTTATTATTTATTAACTTTTTGATTTTTATTACTTATCGATCTCCTAAAATTTGTTGCCAGCACATTGGCATACTGCTGCCAAACAGTAGTATGCAAGCAGTACATTTAGTTTGATAGGCAATGCGTCAGAGACTGTTCTTTGCTTAAGGCATTTAAAATCTTTTATTATTTGAGGGTGACGAATGCAATAGTGCTTGTTGCCGTCTTGTGCGTTTATACCTAAGTACTTATAATTATATCCTTGAAGAACTTTTTGATTTTTTTGGTGAAAAGTATTTTAACTAATTGTTCGCAAAGTAGTAACTAAGTAGTACTTTAACGAAATGTAGGTAGAGGACGAACTGTGTATTGCATTTAAAGACACGAACAATAGATAGAGAGAACAGAAAAAACTGTATTTCATTATTTTATTTACCTCTTGACGACATTCCATTACATAACACTTATAATTACACTTACATCTGTTTCCCTGATTAGGTAGACAGAGGCGTTTTAAACACTCATTTTGCGAAATATCTACACTAATATATATACAAGTAAATAAAATTGAAGAGAAGGAAAACTTGACACAAACCCTATACCAACCCGTCTGGCCAGAGTGGTACAGTAGGCGAAAGCCTCCTTTCTAAGGAGAGGCGTATGTCCAGCAGTGGACTATTAAAGGCTGTTGATGCAAATAAAATTGGAGTGTTTGTTTGTAATGTCAAAATATTAAGTTTTTTTTCGTGCTTACACGGATTTTTGCACATAGGTATCATGCAATCCGTGTAAATACAGATTTTTTTCTGTACCTAAAATCCAGTTTAAATATTTTTTGTCTGTCTGTCCTATTGTTCCGGGTAATCTTCAAAACGTCTGAACCGATTTTGCTAATATTTTACTACCAGGTAGCTGTCTATACAAGGAGTAACTTATGCTATTTTTCATCTCAGAAAACCCCATAAAAAAATACGTTCGGGGAATCGAACCCGAGGGCTCAAGGACTGCAGTCGCGTGCGGAACTACATCACTAAAGCAGCGCTTTTCAAATTCCATAATAATATACTAATATAATTTAATAATACATCGTTCGCGGGTACCAGCTAGATTATTATGAAGCTAATTCCTACTACTGGTTCAAATTGAAAAATGATTTTAGTGTTGAATAGCCCATTTATCGAGGACGGCTATAGGACCTACAACAAGAGTGAAACTAACAAACTCTTCTGCTTTAAGATCGCACTTCCACCAATAACATTCCAGGAATAATGAAAAATGTTCCAAAAACCGAGAAAAATTATTCATTTTGGCAGACGCGGACAGAGAAGGTTATTACTTTATAAGCAATAACTATTTTGGTGTGTATGGATTGGACAGTATAATATATGAGAGTATAATTAATACATAAAATGGGTAGGTAGTGAAGTAGATAACGGTGGGCTAGTTAGAGATATACCTAAACAGATTTAAAAGTCTGGCTCAATACCATGGTGTTTCTTGAAATAAGTCTGCCGTCATGACCTCGTGCCGTAAGTACTACATAAATAACGAACGTGAGAACAATGATCGCGAGTTAACGTTTGTAGTTGTTTCAAACTAAAATAATAATTAAAGGGAGCCTTACAGCGGTCGCGTATTTTTATGATTTTTAACATCTCATACATGGGCAATAAGTGATAAGCAACTTCTTAATTCTATAATCCTCAAAATAATGATTCAGACATTTGAAATGTTTCTTCGTCATCATCATCATCAAATCAAATCAAATTTACTGGATGTCCATCATAGGAGTGATCTCTTAATTCTTTAAAAAATGTTATATTGGCACTGAAATAACGGTGCATCTTTAAAGGCATAAAGAAGTATGGTTATTTCCTCCATTTGCGTATGAATAGTGCCGTGGTTCAAACGATCACCCCATTATTTTCTAATTTCATTATGCATTGCCGCTGCGATCCTCATAAGACGAACGCTATGGATATGGATGTTAATAATCTTTCATAGTTCCATTCAACACTGAAATGTTTAATCGGTTTGACAGTCATGTGTATAAAAAAAATTAAAAATTAAGAATACCTGAAGGGCCCCTGTCAACGACTCTTTTACGAAGACATTGCAGAAGGCGTATGCTAAAACATTGCATGTTGCTGCAATTAGTATCAGCCAAGTATTCCCTACCAGACTTAAGATAGGAGCACTTAAAAGAGATCCTACAATACTTCCCATAGACAGCGATGCTTCAAGAAAAGTCATCCTGAAAAAATAACGAGATCAAAAATGCTCAACAAAAAATAAAATAAAAAAACTCATATTTTCATACCTAAGGGATCTGCTCTCAGTTGAAGTAATGTCATTTAAAAAACAGAAAGCACCAGTAAACATTACCGTAAAACCACCGGATAACGATAAAGGTACACAGGTTGCGACTATCCACCAGGGACCTAGATTGTCCATGGTACAGACGATCACCATCAAAATGGAAGACATTGCCAAACCTAAAAATCATAATACATATATTCACAATCATAAAGTTACGTCACAAGTCACAATAAAATAATCGAATTAGACAAAATGTCTTGAAAATGGTTAGGTTTGGGAAATTATATTTCATAGTGAAGTCTATCAGCAACATTGGCCACTAAAACCCCCTAAAGTATCTAGGTCGACTTAACCAGTAACCCTGTACATATAGGGTGTCCCGAAATTCAAAATGTAGCGGTGATAGGATGGTGGGTGAGTGCTTACAATTATGAGTAAAACCAGGGATTTTACAATATATCGTTTTTTTTCTTAAAAATTCAAAGAAGTTAACATGAGTTAACTGGTTTTGGACACATCATTGTTAAAAAAATAATCCAAATTATAACAGCAAGGTTTTTAAAAGTTGGTGAATGTTATCATGATTTAAAAATGGTATAATCCGTCTTTCTAAGTAATGGCAAAAAAAAATTTGCAAAACACGTGTGTATCATAAGTTCATAATGCTATCTCATTAAGAGGCACGTCCCTAAGAAACGCGCGAATAAGCACTTACTATTTTTTATTTTATTAAAGAACTCACTTCATGAAATGACACTATTAAAAATCTCAGTTGCTTAATAGATGAGTCTACATTTTTACCGCGTGAAAATTATTAATAATATTTTTTATTTTCGAGAAAAAAAATCCTCAACATTGATAAAAATCATCGAAATCGACCTTCTATTCGAAAATAGTTTTTTTTAGCGAAAAGAGATCCCCGTTGTCCATACATTTTAGTACGTAGAAATTGTCTCTCGTCATGTGCAATAAATTAGAAATAAGAGTATACGCGCAAAAAACTTCAGTGTCACCCGAATATTCAAGGCGACTGCACGTCCGATCGTATTTCTCGAAATCAATTGTTTGGTCAAGCATAAGGTGGGTTGCGAGTGCCGAACTCTCACTACTGTTAATTTATATTCTTCGAGCTAGATTTAGAGGAACTAGGCGTGTGAATTTTATTGTGTTTTTTTTTACGAAATAATGTCAGACACTAATGTTAGCGCTCATTAAAATTGTAACCTTTTTTTTAAACCTATTTCAGGTAGATATGGAAAGACGCAAAGAAAATAATTAAAAACACAAAAAAAGGCAAATGTAAAACAACGCAGTAAGTATCCATAATGTGCTCACTTTTTACCCGGCTTTGCAAATAAGTCTACTGATTCCAGAGCTTCGACGTAGCAAAACAAACATCTTCAAAGTGACTTTATAAAAAACGAATGGGTTACTGAAAAACGCATTGTATAAAGATATTCCTTTTTTATTATATTACAAAAAGAGGAGCTATATGCGAAGCAAAAAAAAAAGAAAAGGTGAAAATTTATGCGAAACAACTAAAGCTATGATAAAAAACAATGAATATGCAAAAAAAAGGAAAATTGGTAATTTAAAAAGATTGACTTCCCCCCCCCCTACCTACCCGGAAACGAGTTTGCTATCCGTTTTGTCAAATATTTAACAAAATGAATGTATACCTACATTGATTTTGTTAAATATTTGACAAAACAGATTGCTGTTATTGTGTAGTTAAGACTAGTCTACATAAGAGATAGTTTAAATGATAAGTTTAAATGATAGATAAAAAATATGAAATAAAGATACTAAATTGCTGTGTTTATTTTAATCTGTGCTTACCCTTTTTTAAATAAATAAATAAGAAATAAAATATCATCTAAAAAACCCACATTTCCCATATTACACAGAATATCGACTTGACAATATCTTAGAATCTCCTTGAACTAATAGTTTTAACATAATACCCACAAAGCGTACACTTGGACCATATCCTTTGTCACCGCCTATTCACCACGGGCCAGGGAGTTTCGCGATGCGTTACGATACATTGTTTTTTGTGATATTTATAAACAATCTACAAAGACAAAGAGGTGATGAATATCTACATTATACGAAAAACCGAAAGTAGATTGATTAGTTTCCAGGGTAGTATACTAACATTGCCGATGCATCTGTGTGTCTGTAAAATATTAACGTGGGTATTCAATCTTAAGTTCTCACACTTGGGACTACAGCCTTAAAATGGCAATATTTGAGTAATAGTGAGATACTAAGCGACCATTTCCGTGAGTAAGAGCTTAACAGAACATGCGACACGTGATTTTTATCAGACCCTCGTAATTTTATAAAATCAGGAAAATCAACTTATATCACAATTAAAACTTCATATTGGGCGGCATAATCTAAGGTTTTAGCAGTTGTCCAGCAGTAAAGCTACATAAAATTAAAAGCGACGACTTTTAAACTCTTGATCTTTTAAGGTCAGGGCTAGGTGCGACTGCGACCACTTACTTCTATTATCCTTCAAGGACGAACTAATACTCTATCTATCAAGAAGTTTATATGCCTGCTTGAAAATTATTCTATAATGATTGCCTTTATCACAAAAACACGCGTTTGTACTTTAACAAAAGTAGAAATATGTATAATGTATCACACTGTTAGGGCGTCTGGCTCCTGCCTGCTTGGTTGCCACTATATAAAGTGTCTGGCAATGGATGACGGATTCTATCAATCTGAAGATAATATAAAAATACGCTTTATACTCTGACAGAAGTCTCAATTTTTTGCATTTCTTGCTTGATAGCTGTCAAAACCACCATGAACCAGACTTTCTATACGTCGGTCGGGCTCTACTTTCCATTGACTTCCGTCGAGGTGGGGGTTGATATTTTTTTTACAGAAAGGTTACATTATCATAAGCACACACGCAAAGATTCATCATTCGGAGAGGCGTAGTTTTTCAGAAAAAAATATTGAAATCAATTATTTTTCAAATATTTATGACTATCGTAGGGATTGACATTAATTACATAGAATTCACACCATTGAACGTTTCGTTTTAACTACAATTAAGTTCTCATACGTTCGGTAACATTTTATTTCATTTAAATTTACGTAAATAATCATATTTTTTACTCAATTCAATAGTTTTCATGCACACATATTTACATTAACAGTTTATATATATTAAATTACACCATTATTTTCATTATTACACACATTATTACATATTACAAACTTTGCGTGTGTGCTTACAATAATCTAAAAAAAAAGTCAACGCCCAACTCGACGGACGTCAATGGAAAGTCGTACCGGCGGTCGTTCCTGCCTATGTGGGACACATAAGTAAAAGCATTTTTGGCCCGCGTCCAGCTAGCTTTTAGACCATACTCATTAGTTCATTTACTGTGTACATGTTTTTGAATAAGTGCTGACTAATCTCTTTCATTTTTGATTCTCAATAAGATCGCAAATACTTTTAATTTAGTATATAACTTGATGAAAGGCCTTCTAAGGGCCAAATTTCTCCATATTGTATTTAAGGTATTGACATATAGCTTGTAATCAGTGGTCGGTCTAGAGACATTAATACCTTATTCATCAAAGATGATAGGTTGCTTAAAACATATCCGTGAACAGATGAAAAAAACGTGAGTCGTGCTATCGACCGTATGTTCCTGGCGAGAACCCGTCCACACATCTCATCGGTAGCAGAAGTAATCTCAAAAAAAGATGCTTTCGTCACTTAAAATTAGAATAAAACCTTTTGTAACTAGTATTCGTTTTCTAAAATTACAGGGTTTTAATCATGTATGTATTTTCAGCAAACACGACTTGTTTAAAACTCGACTCAACTCGACTAACCTCTTCCCAAAGCTTTCTTTCTTTATTGAGAAAAAAGATAAAGGGCCTCCTTTACCTTGGCTAAAGCGTCCTGTCTTGTATGGAAAAAGTTTCATCCTCAGCTAAGCAAGCAAGACCCCTTTTGTGTGGTAATATTTGGTCTAACAATTACACGAGTGAATAATAATCTTCTAAAGTAATTCAATAAATACCGGATCGCTCGAGCCTTTCAGGAGTGTTGGCGAATAATTTATCAAAATCCGAACTGAAAAACTAGGTAAGTCCAGGTAGGTATCGAGCAAATGATATTCAAAATGTACAAAAAATGTATCAATAGGTTACTAACCAAGAAGCGGCCACACCAGCAAAGGTTTCCTTCCATGTGTATCAGACCACACACCCAAGAAAAGAGAGAGAACAGCTGGTACAACGCCTTCAATTACACTCCTTACGGTCGATAATGTTGTAACATATTTTTGCACTTCTTTTTCTAAGTCAGTCTCGTTATTTTTTTCTAGTGATAAGAACACCGCACATTCCTCTTTAGTGTATCCCAGTGCGTGCACACAGGACCTATTTAATGTTATGTTGCTCACTGCCACGCCTAAAATAACAAAGGAAACGGTTAATATCGACACGCACATTGAACCCGTGGAAATACGGATCTAGAAATCTCGAGCTATATTCGGATATCGCTTTTCGCACTACTTCCGATTTCTGATCTGTGAGTACGGATTTGGCAGGCTGACTGAATTCGTATATTGTTTACGTACTAGTGTGATCTCTGATTCTAATCCTAGCAATGCAGGGGTCACCTTTTAGCATACGTCATTTTACGCGGAGCCACAACAGTGTTCACGTCGTTGATTATGAGCCCTTTCGATCGGCTTCAACTTCTGGCAATGCTATTTTACTTACGAACGACACAGAAGTAAATAATTCTGGGATCGTTCATACTAATAACAGTATTGTTAAGTACTTAGGTCCGTCAATAATCTTGTCCGAAATGGAGATTCACGGACGGAAGTCGGATCTAGTGCGTAAGCTATCATAGAAATAGTTTTACGACTATTTCGGGCCGCCTTTTCACGGATTCTGATTGGACGTAGTGCGAAAGCATCCAAAAAACTTACGACTTACGATACCTTAGATTAGTGGCATTGCTAACGAAGTATCAACATATTAACATTCTTCAGTAATCGCATTTTATTTGCGTATATTATAGGTATGTGTATCGGTATGTGCTTGGCCTGATTTTGCTCTTTAATAAATCTCATAAATGCTCTATGAGGTTCCCGCCTGAAGACTGGGCAGACTTTTTCAAAATCATTTCATAGTAGATTTGATATATTATGCTTCTGGAATTTATCACCATCCATGCTCGTATCACCAAACCGTTTTGTTAATGAAGATAGGAACGCAATTTCTACTATATTTAGAATCATGTGACACACTAGAACAATTCGTCGTGGAGGAACTGTGATGTCGATGCTGTAGTTTAAGGTAACATCATATACGAGCTTAAATTCTGCATATAAGAGAGAAACATTGCTCTAATCAAACTTAGAATTACTTTTACTAGGGCATTTGGTTTAAAAAAAAAAGGTTGGATGTTGTTTGTAAATTAAATTCACTTTCCCAGATCAATACTTGATTTGTGGGACCACATAATACTTATTCATACCCAGCTCCTACGAATAATTATTGGCAGCCCAGTTCTCTTTTTGTGATCAAAAATTCATAGCTTTGCCCGGCTTTACAGCCTTCTCGCTCGGTTTCCTGAGATGTTCTACCAAGCACTACAACGAGAACTGGTTACTCAGCAGTCAGCTCTTAAGTTGTTTTTTTCTGTTAAAAGTTCGTTTCGTTATAGCATGCTATAACAAATACCTATCATTTTGATCTTGTAAAACATAATTGACTTTTTTTTTATATCACAGACTTCAATGCGCCTACATCATGATCAATTGTCATCATCGTCATCATCATCAACAGCCTCTAATATTCCACTGCTGGACATAGGCCTCTTCTTAGAAAAAAGGCTGATATAGGGATTGTAATGAGACCGCGGTCGCGTCCTTCAGCGAAGACGTCATCTCGCAGAAGGAGGCGGCGGATAGGCCCGGGAGGACAACTTCCACTCGGACCCAATTCGTCATCGGCGAACCTGGCGGCGAAGGCGCGCCACCAGCGCCTCATGCCACCTTGAGTGTGGTCGCAGGTGGACTGACCAGATTTTCTCCTCCACCCGCCATAACGGACAGCCGCGAGGAGGCCGGCACACGCTGGTAAATAGAGTATGTACCCGAAGGTGGTGCCCGCGCCATTGCTGGCTGGCGCTAGGAGGGGTTCGGATGTCTTAATAACAGCAGTTCCCGGATTCCTCCTATTACAGGCGCAGAGTGGCACACCGTGTAGTTTTAGTCGGTCCAATTCCGACAAAAAAAGAGGTTTTGTAATGAGAAGTTTACCTTTCGAAATAAAAAAAGATTTTTCCAAATCAGTTAATTAAATGACGGAGACATAAGGTAACATACGTAAAAAATACGAATGAATAAATAACCTCTTTTTTTGAAGTCGGTCAAAACTATAGTAGCACAATAATTGCAAACTAATTAATAAATACAAGAATCGTAAATTGACATAGTAATATTATTGGACTTCAAACCGCTTAGCTGCGACGTAAGTCAAATTCTATTTTCTTTTATTATTATACTATTATTAAAGAAACATAAATGAAAAGTCTCGTAGGGGCCGTGTCTAGGTGGTAACCGAGTATGTTAACACATTGCAAAGTTACGCAATCCTAGCCAGGTCGGTCTATGGATGGGTGACTATTTCTTAACACATTGAGACCCTCTCCGTGTCTCGGAGAGCACGTTAAGCCGTCGGTCCCTGTTGCACTATGAAAATCTGTGGCAATTGGTACGGGTTGTTGGACCCCTAAAAATCCGACACAACAGTCAATAGAACGTCGATATCGCCTTCTTGGGTTTTGGAGGTCTGATTGTAGTCGCTCCGCTCGCTCAGCCGTATCGTAGTAGACTTAAAGCCGACCACAACCTAGTTTGGGAAAAAAGTCTATCGTATTCTATAAAATAGTCCGTAGACAATAGATTTGGTTTTATGCCATACTTCCAGGTTATGTAAAATTTCTACCTTTCTTTTTCTACGCTGTGAATGCTTTTCGCACTCCCGAAACTTTTGGGACTCCCGAAGAACCGGTCTACACACAAAACTCCGCGGCGGCCTACCTCGGCAGTCGGGAGCTCCAGGAACGCATCGGCGGCTTCTGGAGTCCTCCTTGCCGTACCCCGTGACTGAGGCACATCCCGGGGTGACAGCAGTCATGCCATTGATGACAGTCGACATCCCCTCCGATCGCATCAGAGTGCACCTGTATCATGTTCAATACCTACCACTTTTGGCCAAGGCTGCAATTAAGCACTCAAATCACCCTTAGACCTAATATAGTTTCAATTAACACAAAATAATTGTGCTATACGGAGTCTAAACCCACTTGATGTATTAAAAGCATACATAGTTAAGTAATTAAAAAAAAATGCTTAAAATTAAATACTAGATGCATACCTTAATAAGTTTACGTAAATTTAACCTAAATCTAACTATTAGGTACCTAAAACTTGAATGTGGAAAAAATTAAGGTTTACCAGATAGTGCAATTCCCGCCATGACCAGAAACAAAGGCAGTTCTATCGTAATTCTGAAGGGTTTTGCCGGTAACTCATTACTGATGGGTACTGTATTTACAGTAGGATTGTTTTCAGTAAGCCTTTCTTCGTCTTGCGCCATTGTATTATTTGTCAAAACGTCTTCTTTTACGTATTATGGTTCAACACTACACTATTTTAATTAGACATTAAAACACATAACTTGAAATAATTTTCTTTATCACATTACGAAGCATATTGTAGAATAAAACTTCTTACAATTCGTTACCTACGTCTTGGACCATAACAACAAACAACTGAACTGAGCAAACTAGTGGTGGTACGACTCGAATTTAGTGATGACGATCTAAAATCGATTTTTCGAAAAATCGATTTCTCGGGCTAAAATAAAAATGATTTTTGTTAATCGATATTTAACAATGAATCAATTCAGTGGATCAATATAGCAACCTAGAAAATCGACATTCGATTTTTTCTGTTTTGATAAAAGCCAAAAAATTATTCACAGCAGACATAATTAATTTTTCAATTGTTATACTATATACATTATTGATTAATTAATCTAATTAGTCTAAAATGCTTAAACTTAATAAAAAAAAATCTCTACTCTCTCACATATTTACAATGCGTGGAAAAGGCTACTAAATTGAGATAAACTATTATTGTAAGACCATTTATGTACACTTGGTTGACAAATAAAGATTTATTTGATTTGATTTGAATTTAGTAGAGGAGTCCAAATTCAAACGAAACCTAGGCTTACTCAGTTAATACTATGTGCCAGATGGGTTTCCCTTTTGCAGCTACTCTATTCTCCGTGCTACTCGACATACGTAAAGAAGAAGTAGTTTTTTCCCTTAATTATATAAAAAGCAATGAAATATATTTAGACTATCTGGGGATCATCTGTGCCTTGTGAGTGCCTTTTCTCGATTGCGGCAACATCGAAAGTGATGAGCGGCACCGCTGGGATCCCAGTAGACTTGACAGACTGTTGTTTCTCAAAAGCTTAGATATCAAGCATTGGGAACAATAAACTATATTATATATAATATATTTTCTAAATTTTTAATGTAACCAGTAAAGGACAATGGCAGGCATGTATGGTACTTTTGTGCCGCTTTGCGTATCTCATGGTAAGGATTATAGTTGTATTTATTTGGTTGGTAATTATTAATTATCAGATTTTTTTAACACTGCGTTTAAAAGTTATTTCAGTTTGTAGTGTACGTATAAAGTCGATACCCATGACACCTTGCCAAAGCTGCACCTCAACACGTTAAAGTAGTGCAGGTATAATATATTATTAAAATCTTATAAATTGAGCCCATTTGTAAATAGCGATTTAAATATCGTTTTTAATGTAATTTATATTTAATGCATAAACTGAAGCTTAGAAAACGTAGGAATGCGTTTTGTAAACAACACTTAAACGTTTAGTTATTGCAGTAGTAACAAGTTTTTGAGAAGAATTTATATACTTTTAGCAATGTTCTAAGAGTATGAAAATTACATACATAAAAATAGTTAAGATGATTGACTTTGTAACAATTTAAATCTTATAACCATCTATCATATAATAGTAGGTGTACAGGATCTGCCGTTCTTCTTTAGAAAACAAATGTTGAGAGTAGACATTTGTTTTTTGAATACCTGATACTTTGGTATGGTCATAAAAACAATTGACTGGAAATTAATGACTAGATGACTCTCAAAAGAAATAAGTTTTCTCCGTTTTTTCAATATTTTTATTGATACTCGGCTACTATTGGCCGTGGCGTGGACCAACACTAAAATTAATTTTTGGATTCAAACCAGAACTTCCTGAGGTTAGCGCGTTCAACCAAACAAATAAAGAAACAATGAAACTCTTCAGCTTTCTAATATTAGTATAGATAAGAGATCGGTTAGTAAGGTACCTTTCTTATTTTCCATAAAACGGATTTAAAATAAAATATGTCCAGACGTGAAAAAAAACGATTTTTAGGAAATCGATTTTATACCTCGTTTTTTTTGTGAATCGATTGATTCATAAGCTTGCGATTTAAATCGATCTCAAAATCGATATTTTTCAGAAAGACTCGCCATCCCTACTCGACTTTTCAAACCGGTTTCAGCATGAACCAAGTTGAATCGGTTTGTCCGTATATAATACCGGTTAAGCCGTGTCATAAGATCGCGCTGCACTTCGCGTCGTACCATCGCGCTTGCGACCGCTGCTTTACCGACCGAATAAAACTGATTTACAAACAATTCCTACAAAATCGGATATGATTAGCGCGCGTCGTTTAACAATAATTTAATACGTAAACTGATTTACTTACCTTTCGGACCTAACTGACATATTTTTCTTATATCCACCAAATGAGAAAAAAAGAAGGCATGGTAATCGTGTTACTTGACTGGGTAGTTTGTTGTATTGCCCTTGGCTGTCATCAAACTACCAATCAAAACATGTCGTCGGTTAGTGTAGGTAATGTTTAGTTTTATACTTGTATGTCAATTCGATTGCAAACCGTTGGCAAACTGTAAAACGACGGTTTAATAGGTTGCACATTGCTCTCGTATGTTACATTCGCTGGACAACTCTTCATGCGGTTCAAATTGCGATTTACTGCAACTTCAACGGTTCGTTTATGAACCGATTCCCACGAATTATCAAAACGATTCAACTCGGTTTAAGAAAGATTCCTAAAACGGAGTCATGAATTCTGTACTTTATATTTTTGACACCATTGAATTCAGAACGTTGGTGATTTGCTGCTGTTCGATATAATCATTGAGCAGTTGAGCACGCCTAATAAAATAAATCCCATTGGTAGATGAGAAAAACTTGTTTAGATACTCATTATTTCATAGATAGAGATATAAGTATATTGTGAACAAGAGCCCGCCGATTTTGCAATAAAAGACACGAGAGAGATGGATGCTAGATAGTTTTCTCTATCTACAAGTGTAAATTATTTATCAGGTTTCCAAAAGATGCTGTTTAAAGATCTGAGTTTTAAGTTTATCAGAATTATAATGTAAAAAAAATAATATACTGTCTCATTTCTTTCTTTTATTGAACAATACCTCATTTGAATATTTAATTTTAAATGATTAAAAAGCTTAAACCTTTTTTTAGATATTTTTTATTTTAAAATACAGTTTGGCTTCATGTTCCAATTTTAAATTGATTTTTTATGTACATATTTCCTCATATTTTTATCAGTTGAGGTTATTCAGTTTAAACCTGTCGTTAAAACCTAAAGAATTCCTGCTAACAATTACTTTGTTACTATTGGATTCAAACGTTTACACGGCTTTTAAATGTTTACCTCGTGTTTTGGAGCTGCGTGTTTTGTTACCTTGTGTTTGAATTATTTACACCCAATTTGTTTGCGAAATTTCTAATCTTCCGCCTGTTCTACGATCAAAACCATGTCCACGTCAGATAGCCAATCGCAGCTTAGCCATACAGAGGCAGGGGGAACTATTAGGCATCCCTCTCTCTCGTTTCCTTTATCGCTTTCATTTCAGGCAGTTGTACCTCGTGTTCACTCTATTCTTATATCTCTATGCATTATTTTTATTAATTGTCAAGTTAAAAAAATCCTTTTAATGAATTATTTCCTATGGTGCTTTATTGATAAACAAAACATGTATTAAAGTTATAAAGTCATCGAATTTACTTTTTTTTTATTCTGTATCTGTTTGGTCTACTACTGCATATTTTTAATCTATATCAGTCAATAGATCGTCATGAGATTGAACTGAGATGATAGAGACTGGATTGTATTTTTTGTTAGCAGAATACCTTTTTTAGTCGATATAATCACAATTCGATCTCTGATGTTTTAAAATACGAGAATTGGCCTTCAGGTTTCTTCCCCTGGCCGGGTCGAAGGTTACTCCTTTTATGTTGCAGGACATAACACCCGTTCCTCCACAACCTCGTCATCTGCCCGATCTACAGAACCTCTTTTTTGAACACCCATGCGGTAGACCCATGCGGTGGAAAAGGTAGTGTGAAGATTTTGTAATTTATTTTTCAATTTTTTTTTTTAATACAACTGCCGCACTAGGAATATACCCTATGTTGCAGGGTACTTAACAAACACACATATAACAGACCCAAAGAACACCCAAACCCAGAACGACAATTTATGGATCACAGAAAGTGTTGTCCCATGTGGGGATTGAGCCCACAACACTCAGCGCAGTAAGAAGCGGCGATGTGACTGCTTAACAAAAAAACGCCATCCGTGAAATCCGTTAATATTAACACAATTAATGCTTATATTTCACAAAGACTAATGCCAGACTGCTATGGAAAGCAAGCATGCACGACAAACCAGTTGTAGGACATAGTGATACACTGTGTGGGTTGTTTATGAAGTTTTTTAAACGCAATGTTTAAAATGATGACAATAGAATAAAAAATAATATGATTACCCCAAACCAGAGGCGGATTAAGTATCACGACCGCCTTGGGCAAGCATCTCATCAGTGCTACCGCATCTCTCCATCGCCCATACTAAATTATTAATAGACTAATGGTGATGGCGTGGGTGGATGTGACAGTGATAACTCCTAGTTAGCATTTCTTTACTGCAACTTTTTATTTTTATTTTTTTATGTTAGGCATATATTTTTTCTTTGTTAAGAAGTTCTTCACTCTCACCCCTTTGTAACCTCGCGCCCCTAGGCACGTACTTACTTTCCTTTACGGATAATCCACCACTGCCCCAAACCGTACGTACCTACGTAGTAAACCACTTAGTAACCTAACCACAACTCACAGATTGCATGGTTTATCCTAGAGCGTAATTTTAGTCTGTCAGTTCAGTTTCAGTTATTCATACAAAAATAGTTAAAATAAAATAAAAATAAAATAAGCCTTTATTACTGTTACTCTCTACAATATTTTTCTTAAATGTTATACTATTTACATTAATATTATACTTGTTACACAGTTGTAGTCATTATAGTATATCGGTAATCGCTTTATGTGTAGCAGCTTGTCTCTCGACAAAGGCCTCTTCCAAGGACTTCCATGCAGTTCGATCCCTAGCTATTGGGGTCCACTTAGCGCCCGCCATTTGTCTGAAGTCGTCTTCCCAACGTTTACACTGTCTCCCTTTATTTCTTTTGTGGCCCCTAGGACACCACTCTGTTATTATTTTTGTCCACTTTTCTTTCGTATCCCGTAACATATGTCCTGCCCAACGCCATTTTAACCTTCTACTAACGATATGCGCATTTTGGAATTTAGTTTTAGTTTTAATTGTACAAAAATTGTTACTCCAGGACTATTTGTTCTGCCTAAGGTGTAATTTTGAAAACGGACGGACTTTTTTACACTCATTGAGCAAGTTCGCTAGTACACAGCTTACAGAAAATGAAATAAATATTTGTTTTGTCTGTGGTTAATCTACGATGTCTTGTCTATGACAATACGGAAAGAACACGGCGAGCGTTTTTGGATAAAATTTAACGTTTTTGATTGTTCTTAGTTTGTTCATGTGCGTTGAATTCAAGAACAGATAAGACTTAACTATCACAGGTATGTTTATTTATATTCATACCATAGCTCTATGTGTGCCGATAATTTTCATCATGCGGCGTTAGTTTTTGATGAGTCGTCTCAGTCTCAACTTGCCCCTGTCACACCACATCCGTTGTTGTCTACGTTTACTGTTACATTTTATTGTTTTACTATAATCTCTTTTAAGTATATAATAACAGGTGTTTAATGAATGTTTTGAAACAAGTTATAGACGACATGTGGGATAGTCGTTACGGATATACCACGACCTATTTATAGATCGGCTTTCTTTTTTCTGATTTGCGTTGCTGTCGATCTTCAGCCGGTCTTAGCATATTCCTTAAATACCTATTCGTTTAAATTGTAGCTACATAAAGGTAACGAAGATGGCCGTAAATGTATATTCGACAAACGTGACGTCTGAGAATTTATCAAGACATGATATGTTGGCGTGGGTGAACGACTGCCTCCAGTCGAATTTCGTCAAGATCGAAGAGTTATGCACAGGCGCCGCATATTGTCAGTTCATGGACATGCTTTTTCCTGGCAGTGTACCTATGAAGAGAATCAAGTTCAAAACAAATCTAGAACATGAGTACATACAGAATTTCAAAATATTACAAGCTGCCTTCAAAAAAATGGGAGTAGACAAGGTAAGTTATTCTCAAACTATTAAATGTAACATGCCTTAAGAATTTTAATGTTCCCACTAATTTTAAATTGTTACACTTCATCATCACCTGAATGTTTAAACATAAATTGCATTCTAAGTGGTAGAAAGTTCATTGGCTCTATTCAGGCTTAAATCTATAAATCATTAAATAGCAATTATTAAATATTATAACAGGATATTAAATTTAAATACATAGTTATGTCTGGGATTTTGACTTGAAATCTATAAAGCTTTATTTGTTCAAAGTTTTTTTTGGTTCTGTTGTAGATGAAAGCCCAAGATATGCTGTCTATATATAACATTCTGAATATATATGGAGTCTTAAATATGTGTAGGTTTACTCTCTATATCAATAATTTGATTATTGTCTTAATAATGGAGATGTTATAACATCATTCATACTTTTCTATATATTAGAAATTGTGTACCTTTGGTTTGCTAATGCACAATTTAAAAACATATGTTAGATACAGAGGGGTGAAATATTTTACTAATAAGATTTTTCTTATTTGCTTGAAACACTAGCTATATGTGTTATGTACTTTATAGGTAATACCAGTGGACAAGCTGATAAAGGGGAGATTTCAAGACAATTTTGAGTTTTTACAGTGGTTTAAAAAGTTTTTTGATGCAAATTATGACGGGCGTGAATATGACGCGTTCGATGCGCGTGGCGGCTTCACAATCGGTTCTGGGGCTTGTGAATCAGGAGTGCCATTATGTGGAGCTGCTCCACCTCCACCCAGAGCCACCCGTCGTCCAGCTCCTATGCACCACTCTGGCAGTATGCATCAGCAGAATCAAATAATGCACCCCACTTACTCATCACATTTAGAAACGTCTTGTTTGCAAGCTCACATTTTCATTACAAAACATTACATTGTTTCCCTATGTTTCTAAGTGTGGTCAATTATACACTAGTTATAGACTGCAGGTAGCGGCATTTGTAGTCTTATCAATTCTTTTTATTTTACCTTTTTCTTTTGTAGATAGTACCCATTGACAGACTGGTGAAGGGTCGTTTTCAAGATAACTTTGAGTTTTTGCAATGGTTCAAGAAATTTTTTGATGCCAACTATGGAGGCTCGGAATATGACGCGGTGGCGCAGCGCGAGGGCCTGCCTATGGGGCATGGGGGCTCCAGTGCCCCAAGGGCTATGCAAGCTGCTGCCAAGAAACCAACGGCACCTGTTGCCAAAGTTGCGGCTAGACCCCAAACCAGTACTATTTTGTTTTCTTTATGACTATTACTTTGTTATTATCTTTGCTTTACTATTGATTTGCATAGAAAATACTAAACTGACAAAATTTATAAATCATCTGTTACCTGTGGAACCATTGCACTACATAAGTATTATTTGTTTATTGTCCTACCATGTCATACTTATCTACATCAACCAACTCATCATAACTTAACTTTAAAATATTGATATCTAGAATATTGATGTACATATTTTATTTTAAACATTGTGTTGCCACACCTGCACAGTATTATTATGCACTGCAAAGTTTGTCATATTTACACAGCATGTTATTATTTAATCCCATTATTCATTTATCTATAAACCATCTGAATCATCTTTCTCACCCATTGGATATTATTGTTGATTTCTCATCAATTATTATCATAGTCATCATGTATAAATATAGATTATAGTGTCTCATATAACAGTCATTTATTATTTTAGCATGCTTATGTGTTTGGAATATCGATAAAAATAAATCAACTGCTATAAAATATAATGCTTAAGTAGATGTGTTTGAGTTTGGTGTATTTTATTAAATATCTTTGTTTTTCAGTTTTAAAGGCTAATAGCACAGTAAGATCTCCACCAGTTAATTTATCAAGAATAAATCAAAGTGCTAAGGGAGATTCAAAAGTCCTCGATGAGCTTACCCTTCAGGTAATTTGCAATGCAACGTATTTCTAGACTATCGTTTTATTATCACTTAGTTCTAATTGGACCATAATACAAAAATAAACAAGTAATATAATAACAATTTAACATGCACCCTACAATACTAGAAGAATTGAAAGTCCTCTTGATCTAGTGGTTAGAGATCCTGACTGCTAAGCCAGAGGTTGTGGGTTCAATTCTCACCCAGGACAAATAATTTTGTGATGATGATTGATGATTTGTGATGAACATGATTGTTTGTTCTGTATCTAATTTATCTATAATTATGAGTCAGCATGCTCTGCCTAGTTTGGGATCAGATTGCTATGTGTGAAATGTCTGATTTTATTGTTAATTGTTCGAATACTTCATCCCTTTGGTGATGGATTAAGAATATGGAGTGTCACCAATCAACTAATCATCCCGCGGGTGTCGTAAGAGCCGACTAAGGGAGCAAACTGCTAGACAATAGCACTGCAAAGAGAAGAAAAGTTGAAACAAACCCTACACCAACCCGTCTGCCCAGTGTGGTATAGTTAGCCAAAAAATCCTTTCAAAGAAGAGGCCTATGTCCATCAGTGGACTGTTAAAGGCTGTTGATTGACACTCAAATAATAAAACTACACATACAGTAGTAGTATCTACATATATTTCATTTCGGAATTCTGTATGATACCAAAGTATGTGTATTATTGGAATGCAATCAACATTCTAATACATGCATCAAGAACCCTCATCAAAATCGGATTACTATGAAAGTAATCCGATTTAAATGAGATATAGGAATAGTTTTATGATCAGAGCAATATAGTTTAGCATATAACTAGAGGTTGCAAGTGCACTCTTAATGTACCTACTCAGTACGAGCGAGGCCGCTCCTTGAATGAATCTCATCGTTCGGTAGTTTTGGCGACGAGGCTATAGAAAGCATTTAAAATGCACTTGCAAATTTAAATCACACGTGTTTTCTATTCTACTTAAACTATTCCACTTTTACCATTTTTGGGAAGTGCTTTCGTTACTTTGAATCACAATTATTTGAGTTTTATATATTCTTTATTTGTTATTAGGTAAATGAATTAAAAGCGACAGTAGATGGATTGGAAAAAGAAAGAGATTTTTATTTTGGCAAGCTCCGGGATATAGAGGTGATCTGTCAAGAGATGGAAGAACAGCCAAATGCTCCAATTGTTCCGAAGATTTTGGACATTTTATATGCAACTGAGGTAAAAAATATTCATAATATTATTAGTAGGGATTGGAGACCGCGCCACCTCGTTGTAAGGCTATACATTCTTTGAGTTAGTTGTGGTAAAAGCGCGCAAAACGAACGCGCCGCGTCCTTAAAAACCGACAGACCTTGGCAGTTTAATTAGCAATTATTCACTCAAAATAGTAATTTGTTTTATTATTTTCCTGATGTCACTGCATTAATGTTAATATATTATCCTCATACTTATTAGAAACATACACCTGTCATTTAACAATTATATGTAATTGCTCTAAATACAGTAATCAATAAATGCATTATAACAAGTTATCATAATACATTCAAATATATTTATTTTCATAAAACTTTCTACAATGCTTCACATAAATTCTATAATGTTAAAATCTAGATATCACTGCAAATTAATGTCAAGAAGACATTAAAGAAATAGTTGAGATATATTTTAATTTGTTTTTATTTAATCACAAATTTTGTTTTGCAAATTTTATAATGTTCTCCCTCTATTACACATGCATAGGTCTAATTTTATTCAAAGTACCATATTACTCTTATTTCCTTCTATAAAATCGTAGGCTAATGTTTAATTTATACTTGTAGGATGGATTCGCGCCTCCAGAAGAAATAGATGGTGAGAATCCACACCCACCGGAAGAAGACGAGTATTGAAACATCAGTGTATCTACGCGTATCATAGTGCTCTTTGTATATTACATATATCAAATCGAAATTATCTCGCTTTACAATCGTCGACAGTATCGAGTGCTTAGTATTTCACAGCCAATGAGTCGTAATTGAATCTTGTAGGTTTAATCTTCTTAAACAGTGGCCCTAAAATGGCTTAACATGTAGCTAGTGTCATTAGATACCTACCACTGAACATACAAATGTATAATAAATATGTTGTAAAATATTCGCAAAGCTTGTACATAGTTACAAGTTGTTGTTGAAACACAATATTTTTTAGTTAATGTGTATGAAGATAAGTTGTATAGATAGTTTGTTTACATGTTTTCGATATGTGTCGTCTTTTTTAATGTCTTGTGAAGTAATATTATGTAAATTTCCATTTTACACAGTGTCTTGCATCTCATCAGAACATGAAATATGTTCTGACATGTACATGCTCTGTAACTCATTATTATACATGTTCAACATGGCTGTGTCATATCTAAGTGCATTCCTAAACACTGGGAGCGTGGTTTCTTGACAGAATTTATTTCTGATTCTGTATGCTCTTCCGAGGGAGTAACTTCACTACTTATATAATCTGAAAGTTGTGTGGTGAATATTGACTGCAGTATGTGAGAAAAAGCTGTCATTGACATCATTTTTGGGCCACTGGTGCCTATATAAATGTGCATTTAATAGGTTGTTAAATTATTGGAAGAGATTTACTGTTAATTGTTTAATTCTGTTATAATAATGATGCAGTTGAGTAAAATTATTAAGTAACTTCTTTTTAAATAATATTTTATGTGGATACAATTTGATTAACTCGTGAATAAGTACTAGATCTGAAAACATCTAATAAAATTGCTATCATGTAATTGTCATGTATGTTGGTAAAGTTCTATCATTAATTGGGTTTTATGTAGTGTGATATTTTACATGACCATGAATTAGGTTAAACAGAATACAAGACTTAAACTTGAATAATTGCACTATTATAACTATAAGAAGTATAACTAATACATAATATTCAAATTATTTTTATTTAGTAGATTATACATCCTTAGACGCGTTGAGAATACTAACGACTTATTGGCGGAAACAGATGTTCGCTATTTAAGATAAATAGATAATTAATTTATTTACTTTAGCATTCATAAATTGCCTTCACAGCAGATATTAATTGCCTCTGATTTTCAGATTGTGAATGTCTTATCGAATAAAATAATAATTATATTAATTCATGTCCTTTTTTTAAAACATCTTTATGAATTACATTAACTGAACATCCCCGAAGGGGTAAGGAGAGGTATGTTAAACGCCCATATTTTGCTGATGTGAATATGATTCATTTACATATCCCGTGTCTTTAACCCTTATAATATTCCTTCATTGTGATCAATAGATTAAATAAAACTTGATATAAACAAGTCTTTTCATTAGTCATGTAGAAAAAGCATTTAGAAGTCTACAGCGCTGTCAGGATTACCAACAGTCACTAAAAAATAGACAGAGTATACTCCATTCGCTTTCGCTTAACCTGATTGGTGAGGGGGCGGGAGTTGATCGATGCGGCACTATTTTCCACATCTCTTAAATTCAGCCATGTTTTGTGTCAGTTAACTACCAGTAAATAAAAAAAATCTGTTTTAGTAATCATAAGTCTTACGGTCTTACACATCAAGATATGGCTATTTTAACAGATTACCTAATTAACTATTGCAATGAAATAAACAAAGTACCAACGTGAAACTGATTCTAGTTGTAAAAGCAATAAATCGCTTCATAAAACTATTATGGATCTTAATCCATAATAGAGTTTTATCAATACGACTGAACCGATTTTAATGTAATGTAAAACTTTTGGTCATAAATATATTTTAAATATAAAAATGCCTCGATTTTAATTATTTGTTTATTACTTTGATGCATTTTACGGGTACGTAAAGACAAGTAGAATTTATGAAAATATATTTAATTAAGTAATTTAGCATTAGGAACCTGAAATATTTACAATCATCATATCATAATATATCTCTCCTTTCGTGAACCACCACACAGTCGGGTAAAAAAAAATACTAATAAAGTAGGAACAAAAAGTTTCTCGGCTTTCTGTTCTTTTATGGAAATATCTAATAATGACTGTTCAGTATTTAATTTTAAATACCACACGCAAACATTACAAATATACTCATTACAACATAAAATAAAAGTATGTAAAACAAGCATGGGCGTATAAAAAAAGGAGGCATAATCTCGCTATCAAACAACTGTGTCACTCATAGTCGGCCAGCTCGCTATACGTACAGGCCGGAATGCACACATATGCATATTAGTGATGCGCAAAATGTATCACGGAGCTGAAAAGATTGATATATATCATTTCGCTCAAAAGATATATATCACTCATCTAGCTCATTTAGCTCACTAACTCGTTTAGCTCACTAACTCATTTAGCTCACTAACTCGTTTAGCTCACTAGCTCATTGATCCGATTCAATTGATTGGTCTCACTATTAATTCATTTCTTCATCTAGATCGTGTAGCTCAGTATACTCGTATATCACTCACTTTAAGCCTCTCTCGCCATACAAACCTTTCTTTATTTTCTTTCTTTTATTTATTAACTTTAATTAATTATAGATATTAACTTTCATATTAAATAAAATTAATTCAGTTTTTGAAACTACATTTTTAACCTATTTTTTTTAAATACAATTTTATTCATTTTGATAAGATTACATAATTATTAACATCCTTTTACATAATAATTAAAAATAAGAAATTAATTCTTGTACTTTTTTTAGGTTGTATAATAGAAATCATACATAATTTGATTTAATGTATGTAATTAATAATGCTTAAGTAATATTAAACTTTGATTCTATAGAAATAATGCACATTTTGCATAAAGAAACCTGCGTGAACTCAACCATCATCTATCTCACTCATTTATCTTTAGTATCACTCGCTCATGAAACAAAGATCGGCGTCGTTGAGCTAGTGATCTAGTGAGCTAGTAGTAAGTTACTGATATATTCGGAGCTAGTGTGAGTGAGTGATACATTTTATCGTCGTGAATGATATATATCTTTTATATCACTCACTCAGGAGCTACACAACTCTAATACATATTAAGTCGACCATCACGCGGGCGATACGTTACGCGGCAAAAAAATATAAATATACTTAGACATCATGACTTGCGTAGTAAAATGGTGTAAAGACCGTAGTGACCGAAGGAAAAGATATCCAGGAATCAAGTTTCATAGGTAAATGAATATTTCAATCACTTCCAGATTTTATACATTAAAATCAATTTGTATTCGCTATCGAACAAAAGAATTTATTTTAAGTCCAGTGTTGCCAATATTCAAGTGTGCAAATTACCCTACAAAATGGTAATTTTTAGTTTATTATTAAAATCAATATATTAATGTTAATTATGTAATAGTTACTACTGGGTATTTTATTTTATTTTCCACTTTCACTAGATTTTCTAAGGAAAATGAAGTATGTACGATTACCGAAAATTGATAATCGGTTATCTAGCAGGTCTCATTTGCCATTATGCAAACAAATATATAAAGTCCGTGCAGTGCAATTTCCACAAAGTTGCACTGCACGGGTCTACTGAAGAAAAAAAAAAATTTTCATAAGTCTAAAATCTTTAAAAACCAGAGGAGGCTTACATTTACCATCGAAAGTTATGTTCGATATTTGTTGCAGTTGCGAAATGGTTTAAGGGAAATACCATCACAAAAATTCAAGAACAATTTGTTGGCAATGAAAGCATTTTTTAAACTTGGAATCCGAACATACTTTCGCCGGAATGGAATACAAAATAAATCTTATTATTTAAATATATAGCGGAAAAAATATTTAACAATTCGTTCTTTTTAAAATATAAAAAAAATATACCTATATAAAGATTCGGTCGCACCATATCTCGAAATTAGAGGCAATTTCAAGAACCTCTCAAAGTAAAAGACATTATTATAAAAAAATTACTCAGCAATTTTTTTTTATATGTTGACTGTATTTTTATGGGTAACGTGAAAAATTTGGGTAACTTGACAACCCCAAAATTCACTCACATAAAGAGCTGCCGCCATTACGGTGCCTCACTTTTCATGACTTTTGTGTTAGCGGGAGTTCCGTCCGCCTTTTTTATACGTCCATGATAACAAGTAGGCAGGTAAATACTTACTTTTTCCGACACTGGCAAACACTAACTTCGATTCACTTGAGTAACGTTTATCCTTGGCATTCGTGTTTATATGCGTCAAGAATCAAACAAGTTCATGCAATATTGCAAGCAAGTTGTATTTCGTCCTTTTGCACGTCTGTACAAACGTTGCGGACGACGGCGGCGCTTTGCAAGTCTCGATACGTTGTACTGAATATAGAATATGCAAGTTTTTACAAGTAACAGTCGCTGAGCTTCTTAAAATATTATCTGCCTACATTGATAGGTAAAGTCAAGCCAACATTTTTGTTCTTCACTATCAAAAGCAGATAAATTTTCCTGAACGAATTGTGAACCCCCAATTTTTTGTCACGCCAACGTAGGCCCCCGTCAAGTCTTCCGTGGACGACTGGGGTCACATCAACAGCCTTTACTAGTCCACTACTGGACATAGGCCTCTCCTTAGAAAGGAGGTTTTGGCCTACTATACCACGTTGGCCAGACGGGGTGGTATAGGGTTTGTGTCAAGTTTTCCTTCTTTTTGCAGTGGTTCTGGTGTCCTGCGTTGTTTTGCGCCCTTAGTCGGCTCTTACGACACCCACGGGCTGAATTGGGGTAGTGACATACCGTATTCTTAGTCTGTCACTACACGGACTTTAATATTAACCTATTTCAAAATTCAAGTAACCGAGTTCAAGGAACTCTTAAAATACAATCTGAAGAACTTGTTACTTATCATATATTTGGTCAATAAGTATCTTTCTATAATTGTGGTGACACCTAAAACCGCAAAGCGTTGTAAAATCTT